GCGTGTCGTCATCATCTGTCTAGCGTCCACCGCTCCACCCATACCGCGTTGGTGTCCAGTCCGAGCCTGGCTGTTCTTCACCTTTCTACCTACCTACCAACCCTGTTCCGACCGTGTTCGAACGCTGCCGAACACGGTCAGAGCATGGGGGCTGATCACGAAAGGATCAAGGTCCGGAAATAGGACCGTCACCACGGGGCTCACCCTGTTCCGCCCCTGATCCGACCATGATCCGACCCATGATCAAAGTGATGACGGTCTGATCAAGGTCGGATCAATCAAGGTCGGAACAGGTCAGAATTTTACAACTAAACTCCCTCGCACAACACTGGGCACGGGACTTCCAAAAGAACTCCGGTCCGCCGGTCGGAACAGGTCAGAATTTTACAACTAAACTCCCTCGCACAACACTGGGCACGGGACTTCCAAAAGAACTCCGGTCCGCCGGCGGCGTGCCGTCCGCGCCACCGCGGCTGCGGGGTTGATAGAGCAGGCCGGCAGCGGCTCCTGATGTACCTCCACTTTTGGGTGGCGGTCGCGCGCTGCCGACGGCGCTCACCGGCGCTACGGCGCTCGCGGCGCGCTCGTGGCGTTCAGGGCGGCTCGCACACGCACACACACACACACACACACACACACATGCATGCATGCATGCATGCACAGACACACACAGCCCCTTCCCAAGGGGGGAGGACACGCGCAGGCCGCACCTCTAGTGTGAGGCCCGCATAGTATGTGGGAGACTCATGCCGCCGCCCCTGCCACCCCTGTGTCAGTGTGCCCGTGGTAGTGAGAGACTGCCGGTGAGCAGCCGGAGGCAGGTCGCTAGACTGAGATGAGACCGCCAGTAGTGGAGTTGGGATTCCACCGCGTCGTGCACCGCGCTGGTGACCCTTGTCAGGAGCAGGAGAGCCCCACCTGTGCCCCTGATCGTCCTTCCAAAATCCTGCTCGTGCAGGTGGGGTACAGGCTGTTTTCGGCATAAATTTCTTTCGTTTTGACGCGCGCTCACGCCTCTGCGCACCGCGCCTCGGCACCGGCTTTGCTGCCACCGTGTCGAGGACGCCCAGCCCTCGCATGGTTGAAGGTCCCATCAACTCATTCCATCGCCAAGTTGCTCGGCGGCCGCGCAATGCGGAGACCACCGAAAGCACCGCAGATGAGCCGTAAAACATGCCTGCACCTAGCTGCAGACGTGCCCACATTCTCCTCGGTGTCGTATCTGAGGCGGATTGACCTGGATTTTGACTCCACCGCCGCCACGGTGCATGGAAACCACCCTGGCGGCGCCCGTGGACGTCGAACGCTCATGCGCCGAGTCTTCTGTAGCCACAGCAGCAGCTACAGCGGCGCAGACTGGCGGCAGCCTGCACGGCAGTAGTCCAGTATGACTGTGGTGCGGTGCGGCGGTCGACAGCCGGCGGCATCAAATGCGGAGTGATCGCGGGCAATGCGGACTCCACCGTGACGCCACAGAGCCGCGGTGCGAGCCATGTGGCTCTATACACCGTCGCAAAACTGTCGCAGGACGAGCGGCGCCAGCTGGTAGCTGGGGCCGCAGGGCGGTCAGGCCAACACCGTATGCTAGTCGGAGTGGATTGTCTAGAGGTGTAGAGGTCGGTAGAGTGTCCGTTTGTGGCCTCCGGACGGGCTCTGGTCGGGAGCCCGCCGGGCCGGCTGAGGCTGTGTGTCCGTCCACTATGGACCCAGTGGTGGCTTAGAAGTGCTCTCTGGGAAGTACACATCCTATATAACACCTGCGGACCGGAAGGTACCGCCGTGGCGCCGCGAGGGGCCGTTTAACCGCCCTCTAGTACGTAGTAGAGAGGCGGATAGTGTCGCTGTTTTCGAAAGGCGCTGACAGCCCGGCGCGTACCGCGCGACGCCCGGGCTACCCAGGGACCAGTGAAAGGCCTATACCAACCCTTCAAAATAACCTACTAACTTTGGTACACTCTCACTTTGATATTTCCCGCGGTGCACACTCAAAGTCCGGAAATCTAGCAGACGCGCGCGTTTTGGCCGGCTACCCCATCGGGTCGCACGGAGACGCGGGTAGGCCGCCGCAAGCCGCCTCCGGGTGCAGGGGCCCGGCGCGGTGGGCGGGGGCAACGGCCCGGCAGCTGGCCGCGCCTCTCCGCCCCGCCCGTCGCCGCTGCACCCCTTGCCGCAGCCCTCGTCGCTGCAGCGACGACAGCCGCGGCACGAGGTCAGAACGCGGCCTCGGAGAGCCCGAGCGAAGGCGCCGACGGTGGCAGCCGTGGTAGTGGTTGATGGTAGAAGGCTCCTGAGCCGTCGGGCACCACGCTCGACGTCGCCGAGCAGCCGCACCCGGCGCGAGCGCCTGCGCGTCGGCGGGTGCCACCGAAGGCGGGTGGGCAGCGCCGGGCGGGGCGGCGGAGCTTCTCGAGGCACGCACGTGCCCCGCGGGGCGCCGAGGCAGACACTCCGCCCGCGCTGACGACATGGCAGCATAGGGCTTCCTATCCTTGCTCAGAGTCTTCTTCCTCTGCAGGGGCGGGCCGCGGCCGCCCATGCTGTGCACCATCAGGCCCAAATTGTCATGGGTGGACGTCATCTGCTGGCGAAGCGACCGGTTGTCCAGTGTCGAGATGGGGTTGCCGAGATAACCCGCACGGGCTTCGCCTCGAGAGTCGCGGGCTACACGATTCGTCGGGCCGCCAGGGGGTTCGGCAAAATCCAACTTGAAAGGACTTCCTAGACTGAGCTACGATGCATCAGTGTACCAGCGCCGTGTGCATGCCGCGCATCATTAGGGCGTTGCGGGGCGTCTACCCATGACATTCGCGCGTCAAGATGAAGGCGCGTGAAGACGAAAACTGTAAGAGATAAGGCGTCCCGGTGTGACGTGTTCCACACCCCTCACCCGTGTGCGTGTCTCTCTCGGACGGAGAGAGGAGCCACCCTCCCTTCCTCCTGTGTCCGTGTCTGTCCCGCGCACATTGTCATGGAAGGTGGAGCGCGCACATGTAGCGAAGTCATTCTTAGTCCTTCACTGTTTACGATTTCCGACATGGTTCCTTCGCGTGAGATCATCGACGACACTGCGGTCGTCAACGACGGCACGGCGGCCGTCAACCAGCGCACGACGAGCTACTGCGAGCCCGTCGTGGAGTCCACCGTCCGCTCGATACGGTCGGTGAACACCAAGGATGTCTCGGACGGCAAAGCGACGCCAACCGAGGACATCAAGGTGACTGGCAAGGCTGGAGACCTTGCACTCGGCACTGAGGCCGGCAATGAGACTGAGACCAACGGCACTGAGGCCAGCACTGAGACCAAGCTCAAGGGCGACTCCATCAACTCGATGACCGACGCCAACATCACCAGCATCGTCGGAGGTGACGGAGCTGGTTTCCAAGATTCATCTGACCTGGCCACCAAGAACGAGCTCTGGCACCTGACCGAGGAGCACGTGTGGCCGGCGATGCTTGCCGAGGCGGAGGAGATCGCTCTCGACCACAAGAAGGCGTCCGACATCGACATTGCCAAGATCCTCGCAGTGCCGCAAGCCGCACAGTTTGCCGAGGCCATGCAACACACCTTCAAGGCCATCGGTGCGGAGATCCACCGGCGCATTGTTAAGCTCGCCGTCTACTTTGCCAAGTTGCTCCCTGCCGGCTTCGCCATTCTCGACTCGCAAACCTCCACTCCCACTCTCTTCCCCGACGTTGCCGACGCCTTCATGCTCAGCACGATTGGCGACGGCTCTGTCAGCAGCGACTGGGATCCGCGGAGGTTCAAGTGCCAGCCATTCAATGGCAACCCCAACGACTACGAGCGGTTCATCAGCGATGCGCTTGACCACCTCGGCAGCTGCTTTGGCACTCACGCTGACGAGGACTACTCACTCGCCGATGAGGCCAAGGGGCACTCCGCCTACGGGTACGTCGAGCAGGACGGAACCGACGCCTCCAGCAGTCTCGGGAGGTTGCCAGCGTTGCAGCACGACACGGCTTGGCGGACCGAGTCGCAGCCGCCCATTCAGAAGGGCCTGCCCTTGACGAGAAGGGCAGCGAGGGCGGCGGCGGCGGCGGCGCCGAGGCCGAGGCCGATCCAGCCATGGGAGTTGTCGTGCAGCAGCTGGTCTGGCTCGCAGAACTCGGCTCCGCTTCCGCCGAAGAAGTCGCTCGAAAAGGGGTCATCAGAAGACTGTTCGGCAAAGATCTTGACGCTGGCGGCGTACTCCTCGGCAGCAGGCTGCTTGTCGGCGGTAGAATGGACGACGGGCATCGTCTCGACGGCGTCGGCGTTGCTGTTGAAGTTGCCAAGGTAGCCTAGGTCGAAGATGTCGACGGCATCGGCAGCCCCACCGTCGGCATCGGCGATGTCGCCGTCCTCCTCGTCGCCCTCGCGAGAGGCGGTGGCGTCCTCAACGGCCCGCGCATCGCCGCGCCCATCGAAGCTGCTGGTCGGTGCGCCAGAGCGTGCGACGGCATTGAGGCGCTGGAGCGCCTGCGACACGAAGACGCAGCAGCCGTTGAGCTCGCTCGGGCAGACCTTGGCAGAGTGGCCGAGGCCTTGGCAGTTGAAGCAGCGGATCAGATCGCGTAAGACGGCTTCGGAGACGGGCTGCTTGCGTACGGGAGCCTGAGCGCCGCGCGCAAGTCGACCGACATAGACGGAAGGTCACATGCCTCGTTCATTAGCTCGCGCCTCTGATCAGCGCGACGCCTTACCTTTGTTGTCTCTGCAGACAATGGGGGAGTGTAATAAGAGATAAGGCGTCCCGGTGTGACGTGTTCCACACCCCTCACCCGTGTGCGTGTCTCTCTCGGACGGAGAGAGGAGCCACCCTCCCTTCCTCCTGTGTCCGTGTCTGTCCCGCGCACATTGTCATGGAAGGTGGAGCGCGCACATTGTAGCGAAGTCATTCTTAGTCCTTTACTGTTTACGATTTCCGACAAAAACAGCTTGTAGGTAGGTAGAAAGGTGACTCTGTGTTGTGTTTACGTGAAGAACAGCCAAGCTCGGAACTGGACACCTACGCGGTGGACGCAAGGTGGGGACCCATGGCGCTCGCCTGCGCCTCCTCGGCGCTGGCGTACGTCATTCCACACTTCGCTGCCCCACCGAGAGTCAGTCCGTCGTCACACCGAGAAGGGCGCAAAGCTGAGCTGCTCGAAGCGGCTGAGCTCCTGCCGCTCGCTGGTGCGCTCGCTGTCGCGGCGCCGCTGCTGCTGCTAGCCGGGGAGCGGCGTGCGGCGGAGGGGCCGCTGCCGCCGACCGTGCTGTACCAGGCCGGCACGACGGCGGAGGGCGCCGAGCTGATGGCTGCGCTCACCGCCAGCACCTTTCCGGCAGCATGGCGGGAGGCGGTCGCCGCGCTGGACGGGCGGGCCACTCGCGCCGCGGCGGAGGGTAGCGGCAGCCTGCAGGGCCGCATCGCTGCCGTGCAGGCGCTGGAGGGGCAGCGGCACGCTCTCGCCGACCTCCTCGCGGTAGCCGTCGAGCGGCAGCTCTCCGAGGTGCTGCGGCTCTGGCCGAGGAGGGTGGGAGTGGATGGCCAGCGGACCCGGGTGCGGCTCTCATGTAGGCGCAGCTCTCGCTGCTGCCGTCGGCCGCCTCCATTGCGCCCGCCGCCGGGCTGCCGCCGGACGCGTGCAGCCTCGTCAGGGTGAGCCAGCGCTTTCCGGGCCAGAGCGCGCGCCAGGTCAGAGCCTTTGTGGGCGAGTCTGCCCCGTCCAACGAGCCTAGCGTCAATGGCCGCTTCGACCGGCTGCAGGCTGCGCGGCTGTACCAGGGCTCGAGCGCTGCCTCTCCCCTCCCGCGCCACCGGGGCACCCTCACATCTCTCCCGCCGCACCGATAGGCTGCATCCAGTTTGGCTACTTTATCGCGCAGGTCTTCCTCGGCCAGGCGCACCTCGCCAGCGGCCGGGAGTCGGTGGCAGTGACTCATTCACAGCCAATCGCACTGCTTCAGCAGGCGCATCTTGACGGTGAGGCGCGGCTGTCGGGAGCGGAGGCGAGTGCGCTCAAGGCGCCGACCCCGCCCAACGTGCCCTCCCCTCTGCCTGCCCGCCCCCCCCCCCTCTTCCTCTCTCTCTCTCTCTCTCTCTTGCTCCCCCCACCTCACCGCCGCACTTGAACGCTGCAAAGGCCGGCATCGAGCGCAGTACCAAGCAGCCCAAGACCGAGGCGGCGTGGGCGGCGGCCAGCCGCCGCGCGGGCGCCTTCTTTGCGCTGCCGAGGGAGGGCGGCGAGGGCAGCGAGGGCGGCTTTGGGTACGAGTCATTGCGCGAGTTTACGGTCGGCGTTCAGGTCGTCGCCCCTGCGCAGCAATCGGAGTTCTTCAACTCGCCGAGCGAGGGGGAGGCGGGCGGCGAAGGCGGCGGGTCGCGCGGACAGGGGGCTGAGGCTGGCGCTGGGGCGGCTGCTGTCGACGGCGGCGTCGCGCCCCTTCCGTCTGCTGAGTTTGTGCGCTTCAACGCGGCCGGGCTCCAGGCGCTGCTCGCAGAGGGGTGCCTCTTCGGCTGGATGCTGTGGCAGGCGGAGGCCGAGGCGATGGCAGTGCTGGCGGCCGCGCCAGATGACGGCTCCGCGAGTGCGCGGACTGCGGAGGGGAGCTCGCTGCTGCTCACGCCGCCGGCCGCGCCGTGAGGGACAGGACATGGTCGTGGAAATGCGAATCGTGCGTTCCGGCACAAAGATTGTACCACTGTAGGTGTCTCCTGGCGGAACACAAATCTTGGAGCAGCTGGTAGAGACATAGAGTAGAGCCGTCGAGATTGGGGTAGAGTTTAACTCTGTGCTGGGATAGCTAGGCCGCTTTTTCAGTCAGGGAGGAGCCCTTCGAGAGCCGTAACAACTTACTCTTAAAACCGTACACGTCACAGATACGTTCGCTTTTACACCGTGTTCAGCTGTCGACACGCATATGTCTGTGCCACACACGTGTGTACATACCGTACCGCGCTGTTCTCTGATCTCTCTCTCGTCTGTGAGGACTCGGAGGATTGAGCCGGTGCACAGAGTGGAGAGAGAGAGAGAGAGAGAGAGAGAGCACACACACCGACGCGAGAGGCACACGCACCACCATATTGGTCATATACCGCACACCCGTAATAAAACCAAACCGCTGCGAGGCGCGAACTATGGCGCCGCTGTCCATCATATCACATTCTCCGACATTGCGCAACCGCACATCGCCGTCGGGAAAGTCACTCAAGTCTCAACCAGCTGAAAGTGATAGGGGGGAGCTCGCAGGTTCAGCGGCCGCGAGTGATCCCAATGCCGCAGCCGGCCGCGCGGCTCGTTGGTGACAGCAAAGATGGGGACTTGCCAGCCCAGGACGCGGCTCAAGTGGGAGCGCAGTTGGCGCAGGACGGGGAGGTCCCTGCCCTCTTGGCCGGTGGAGCGGAAGAAGAGCAGCCCGGCGAGGCTTCTCGCCAGGAGGGCCTCCACGCCTCCGTCGCCGAAATGAAACGTATGATAGTCGGAGGGATATGACTTTTATGATCAGCGCCTGCACAGTGCGCACTTGTGACTTGAAAGCTCTCGTCTCTCCCCGGACCAGCCTCGGGCTGTGCTCGGACCAGCCTCGGGCTGTGCTTCCCCGCCCGCGGTGCTCTCTCACCCGACCGCGCGCTGGACCGCCGGCCCGGCCAGGAACCGGACTCCCCCGTTCGGGGGAAAGCTCGGCTGCCGCGGCCCGCAAGGCTGGCACATGCCCAAATCGGGCACCTCCTTCGCGGCGGCCTCGATGTTTGCCCTCCGCTCCGCCTCCTCCGCCGCCAGCGCGGCCGCCGCCCGCGCGTACGCGCGAGGGCTTCCCACAAGGAAGGCACGCTCGGCGGAAGTTGCGACGGCGCTCCAGTGGCGCCGCCGCAGGCTCTTGATCCTCCGCTCGAGACGCCTGTACCGCGCATCGCCCGCCTATTCAGAGCGTCCGGCTCGTGCGCCGCCCGGCGCCTGGCTTCGGCAGCGCGCCTCGCCCGCCTTGGTCCCGATGGAGGCCATGACGCGCGCCACCAGCGAGCGGCGCCGGCGGGGCGGGCGCGGTAGCGCAGCCGGCCTACCCCGCCACCTACCGTACACACCGCTGTATGGCATGGGTGCTACGGTGTACCACCATGCGCGCGACTATGTGGCACAGGTGCTGGTGTACTACCACAGAGACTGCTATGGTGTAGCTACCATCACACTACTTGGCATAGCTGCTAATGCACCTTCCCGACCCGGGGGCATCGCCCGGGGCACCGCTAGGCTCGGACAGCGAAGAGGAGGCTCCAAGGGGCGCTCCGCCGCTGCCGCCGCCGACCCGCCGCCGCTTGGCTTGCCTGCGCGCGGGCGCGCCCCCGCGCGCCCCGTCCTCCCCCGCCGCGCCCTCCTCGGAAGAGGCGTCTCTGGAGGAGGAGCGCGCGCCGCTGCCCGCCCCTGCGCCGCCGCCGCCACCGCCGCCCGCGCTCAGGGCGAGGGTCAGGCCGGCGAGCGCTCTTCTGCTGGACGACACGGCCGCTCCGGAGGCCGCGGCCGCTCCAGCGCTGGCTGCGGCGGCGGCACCGGCTCCCGCCTCTGCGGCAGCCCGGCCGAGCTCACCGAGGAGGACCCGCTCCTTGGCCTCGTCCAGCGAGCCCGCCTTGCGCTCGAGAAAAGACGCGATGGCCTCGGCCTTGTTGGGCGTCACGATCTTCCCGCCCGGCCACGCCATCGAGCGCTTTGGCAGCGGCGGCGGCGGCTCCCTCGCCGCGGCCTCGAAGCGGCGCCGGCGCTCCTCGGCCTTGGCTCGCTGGGACTCGAGGAAGGACGCGTCGACGCTAATGTCGCGAGACATGAGAGCAGGTGGAGAGAGCGTGCGGCAGCCACAGGACTGAAGAACGATCGCGGAACGCGGATTGGGCACGACGCCACAGGATATCCTTTGGCCGCGTTGGGTAGCGAGCGTTGGTGTAACCCGAGCCACGGAGGCGTGTTTTCTGACGGCCGACCGTCAGTGCACGGAGTTGCCCCTTCTCCGACTGCCCCGGCTGGTTCCCGAGGTCGCGCGGGGCTGACCCCTGTGGTATTGCTAAAAATCTCTCTCTCTCTCTCCCTGTCTGTGTGCGTCCAAGCTGCAGAAACGAGCTTTTAGTGGCTATAAGCATAGGCACTGAGATATGGTGCGCGGCTGCGCGCGGAGCGCGCTGGTGCTACCTGGACATACGCGCGGAGCGCGCTAGCTGGACACCCGCGCGGAGCGCGCCGGCTAGATACCGCGGAGCAAGAGCAAATCAACACAACCGTTCGAATGCTGACGCCGCAAGTCGCTGCCGCCGGCTGCCAAAGTGCGCCTGGATTGCTCAGCAGCTCAAGCATCCACGTCGTGTACCACGTCAGCCGCCGACACGGCCCGGCCCCGCCGCGTCGCCGCCCTTTCGCTTGCCGCCATCGCCCTCACCTGTTTCGCCGCCGTCTACCACGCCAGAGCGCACTCTCCTCTCGTGGCTGCACCGTGTCACCCCTGTAGAGCGCGAAAACCGAGCGTCCGCCTCATCCCTCGTGCGTGCACAGACACGGCTGCGCTTCTACATAGTACAAAACAACATGCAGTACAGCGACGCACACCGTATAGATATAACTTTGTGCGCGGCGGACTCTCTCTTACTCGTCTGTACGCTGTACGCTGTGTACTGTACAATTCTACTCGTCTCACAGTACATTGGGCAACAAGCCGCGCCGCTTCGCCTCCTGCCCCCTCGAACCCATGCTCGGCTCGCGCAAGCCCGTGGCCACGAGCGTGCCCCCCGCGAGCCCTCCGCCAACAGTGACGCGCCGAACCGAGCCGGGCCTCTGCTGGCTGCCAGGCGTGCGCGTAATCTGGGTGGGCGTACGCTTTGAGGTCGCCTTCGCGCGCACCACCCCTGCCGGCGCCTCGTCCTCGCCCTCGGCCGCGGCGAGGGAGAAGGCCGGGATGGATGTGCTCTCCATGTCGTCGACGGCGCTCGCCCTGTCGGCGGTGGGGGTGGCGAGCGGCGCAGCGTCTGCACTCGGCGCTCGCGCGCGCCACCGCCCCCGGCGCGGGGTGGGATGTCAGTTCGAGAGTTCTGTGTTCCCGTCCCTGTGCTCCACCTTCTTCTCCCGCGTCAGTCCCATGAGAACCCCACTATATAGCGCCGCCTCGTGAGCTGTCCTGTGTGCTGTGTGCTGTGTGTCCAGCAGTCCGGACCCGGTGCTACGGCCGGTGACAGTGCGCCTCGTGTCGGCTCCCGAGCCAATCGTGTGCAGCGTGTGTGTGCGTGTGGGCCCGTCCTCCATGCTAGGAGGTGTGTAAGACTGTGTGTGTATCGCGCGCCTTGCGACTGACTGACTGAATCATTATGATCCGCGTCGCCGTCGTCGGTAGGTCGGTCGGGCGGAGGGGCTTGAGCCAATGACGAGGGGTTGACCTAGCCTGGCCTGATGTATGCGTGGCTACACTCCGTCTTCGCGGCGCGCTCGCCGCCGTGCTCGATTCAGGCAGCGGATGGCCATCGCAGTGCGCGCGTGGCGCACCAGTTCTTCAATTGCGCCCAAGAGATGCCAGAGGGCGAAGCGACGTTCGCTACCCTCGAAGCGTTGGGAAGGCCAACGCAGGACTGCTGGTTCCACCGCATTCCCCAACGGGACTTGGATCCCGCTGTCGCGGCCGGCGACACCAACATCTCCATCCTCGCTGTCGTGACCGGCGGGGCCTGCGGCGAATCAACGGCCCTCGGGTTCATGGCTGGCCCTGCTGTCCGCGATTACTTTGTGCAGGGTTCGTACTAGGCTTGTGCATGGCTAGCACACCCCCTGCACGCGGCCGACATCGGCTGTGAGCGGCATAGCCCCATATCCACGATGCGGTAGTCATCCCAGCTGTGACTGCGACCCCCCTCCAGGTAAGGCCGACACGACGGCCGACCAGTGGCATCTTATCCACCCGTACTTTCAATCCCAGGGCACTCCTATTGCTGCGATCGCATTCCACATGGGCGGCGCCGAGCACAGTGACAGCGGTTTTATCATCGCCGGCCCGCGGCATCAGAGCGTCGCAGGCGGGGGCGACGGCTTCAACGCGGACGGCAGCGGCACCTTTGCGAGCTTCTATCGCGGCCCAGAGGCAACCTGAGCTTGCCTCCTTCGCACCCACTCCTCCTCCTTCGCACCCACTCCTCCTTCGCAGCAATCCACATCCCTTCCCCGCTCTCACACACGCGGACGTAGACCCCGCTTGCGCCGCCGCCATCAACAGCGCAGCGGCTAGAGTCCAGCGTGGCATCAGACAACCAGCAGACAGCAGCGAGAGGCAGGCAACAGCGAGTGGCAGCCTGAGCGGCCAGCGCAGAGAAGAAGATCGTTCACACACGCTCGCCCACGATACGCTCACGGCGCATTCGCAGGGTTTCAACTTTTGTGACGGCGCACCCCTGACTGGCGGCGAGCGGCTGGAGCTGTGCTACTTCCCCGCGGCGTTGGGCATCCGCTCTTTCGCAGGAGGCGACGGCGAGACCGAGCCAATCGACCCTTGCTTCGAAGCCAACTTTGCTCGGGTCCGCTGGCAGCTAGGGGCCCGGTGCTCGCCTCTGCCTCTCTCGTCGCGACTCCGCGCCATTGCGACCGTGCCCCGCAGGACCCCCACCTCTCCCTCCCGCGCGGCGGACGCGCCGACTTCCGCGGGCGCGACGGCCAGTACTACTGCTTCCTCTCGGCGCCGCGCCTTGCCATCAACATCAAGACGGAGGACGCCACCTTCCGCCTTCACAACCTCCACGACAAGGGCGGCACGCTGGTCGTGGAAGGGTCCTTCATCACCGAGGTGCGCGCAGCAATGTGGCGAAGCCCGCCGACTCGATCGACCGAGCCCCTCGGTCATCAATGACTTCGATCCTTCCTCCTCTTGCCGGCGCAGGTGCACTTTGTGGCACGCGTCGGTGGGCGGAAGAACAAGCTCTGCCTCGCCTCCTTTTGGGCTAGCGAGTTCAAGTGCGAGACGGATGCTTGAGGGCCAGCTACCACACGCGCCCCCTTCAAACGTGACCATGACTGTCCCGTAGCGAATACAACACGAGCAGCCGCGGGTGCACTCGCTGGGCGTCACTCGGCTGCTGCTGGTGCCGGGTGAGCGTGTGCTGGTCTCCGCGTCGTACGACTGCACCGCGAAGGTGCTGGACACGCGCAGCGGCGCCGTGACACGCATCATCGATAGCCCGCACAGGTCTCGATTCACCGCTCTGTGCTGGGACGGCGCCCGTTCGGAGCTGCTCCTTGGGGACGAGAGTGGGCACTTGAGCATCTGGGACGTCGGCGGCGAGGGCTGCCTCAAATGCGAGCGCTTGTGGGGCGATGGGGCCCTCCCAAAGCAAGGCGGCGAAAAGGTGGCAGCCGCACTGGCCAATGCGGTTCGGGTCAGCCGGATTGATTCCACGGGGCCGCGCGTGGGCAAGCCGGGACCCAGTCAGGGCGGGCTGCGCCATCTCGCTCTCGCGGAGGGAGGGCGCCTCCTCTCCTCCTCGGGCACCGCTGTCGACGCGTGGCGCGTCGTCCACGGAATCAGCAGCGTGAGGGCCGCCGCACACAGCGCGGCAGTCGTTGCTGTCGCCGGACCCGGCACAGCTGCCGTGTGCGACGAGGGGGAGGAGCGGCGCTCAGACGCGGCGCGCTCGCCGGAAGCGGCGCTTTCGACACGGTCCAGCGAGAGCGCGGTCTACTCCGCTTCCCTCGACGGCACCATCCGCGCGTGGGACCCGCAAGACATGTCGTGCACATCCATCTTTCACGAGGTTCGGTCCGAAATTGCCTGCCTAATCCATTGCCCGCGCTGTGAGCGGCTCGTCACTGGGCACGATGACGGCGCGATTCGGCTGTGGCATGTGGACTCGGGATCGACGGTGACGCTGTCGGGCCACTCCAACACAGTGACGTGCCTCAGCGTCGACACACGCGGCAAGTCCGTGCGGCTCCTCTCGTCGAGCTTTGACGGCACGGTTGGCGCGTGGGACATTAGCGGGCAGCGGCCGCCAAGGCTCGAGCTGCTCTTCGCCGCCCACGAGGAGGAGGTGCTCGCCGTGCGCGCCGCGGAGCTGACGCCGCGGTACGTCACCGCCGGATCCGGTGCGCTCATCAAGATATGGTCGCTCGATACTCACGCGCTGCTCGGACAGCTGCGCGGCCACACCGAGCCAGTCGGCCACCTCGCAGTCGATGGCCACTTTCTGCTCTCGGGCTCGGACGACGGCTCGGTGCGGCTCTGGGACCTGTACGCATACGCGCTGCTCCGCGTGCTCCCCCGTGCGCAAGAGGGGCCTCTCCGTGGCCTGCTCGTTGTGCCCGACTCCGGCTGGCTCGTCGCCTGCTCCGAGGCGGCGGTACGGGTGTGGGACTACGACTCTGGTGGGCTGCTCAAGGAGTGGCGGCACGCCGAGCCCTTCTGCAGCATCGGGCTCCGCCGGTCGACGGGCGACGTGATCGCAGGGACGGAGGAGGGCCTCCTCGTCGCCCTCCCCCTAGCAGAGCTGACGCCTTCGATGGGCGCGTGAGGAGAGAACCCGCCGGGGGTGGCGGGGAGCGGCGCGGAGGACGAGGGAGCTGCGCCCGCGGGGCGGCGCGCAGGCGGCCGGCGCGGCGCCCAGGCCCGGGGGTACTCCCGGCATTTTCCCTGTCTTGTACGGTATGATTGACGCGTGGGAGGTGAGGGGAAAATCTATACGACCGATTCTGATTCACCGTGCACATGCCGACACGCACATCCGCTCCCAGGTCCAATGCAAAAAGCCTCACGAACGCGCCATGGAAACGCCTTGGGTGGGAGCCGCCGTCATAGGCTGGACAGCGTAGCGAGGGCTCACAGGGACGCCTTGGCCGTCCCGCTGCCGGGCAGTCACCTCCTTGGTCTCTTGAAAGAGCGCCCAGGGCAAGCAACAAACGTGCACACAGACGTCGTTGCATGGTGTCTCCGGGAGGCGGTACGCTGTGCGGATCTCCGTACGGGTTTGGGCGCTGTAAGCCGCCGCCACGAGACCGCCCACGTAGGGAATAAATGAGAGGCCGAGGAAGCTTGCACACGCTCCTGTGTCACCACAGAAATCACCCGGGTAGCCCGTCTTGATGCGGTTGACGAGCTGTCCGTACGCGCACGGCGCGCAAAAGGAGGCGAGGCAGCAGAGGCCCATGTCGGAGCAGCAGCCCTTGTCGGAGCTGCAGTCAAACAGCGTGTGTTGCCAGTGGTCGATGCCGCCGGCCACGACGTGATTAGAGACGCGAGGGCTCGGCGCATGCGCAGGGGCTGCCATGGCTGCGGTGGCGGTCGGCATGGACACCGCGGTGGCGGTCGGCATGGGCACTGCGGTCGCGGTGGCGGTCGGCATGGGCACTGCGGTCGCGGTGGGGAGGGGCTTCGTGTACTCGGCTGCCATCGAAAATGGGCTCGTGGACGGCGGGTAGGTGCTCGGGGAAGGCGGAAAAAGGCGGGCGCCTCGTACCGGGGTGTTCGAAACACGTAGACACACAAAAAGAAAATTGCGTCTAAAGCGAACGTGGCACTTAAGAGGGTCGGAAGAGGCAGACTCCCTAGGGTGGGCGACGGCTAGCGCACCACACACCTCTCCTTAAAATCCCTGTGTGGTGGCGGCGTGCCGTCCTCCCATCCCTCCCTTGGGGTGTCTGTTTTCTTTCTTTCTTTCTTTTTAAGAGGGTCGATTACGGTAGGTTAGGGCGGGCCGCCTCCTAATGACTTAAAATCCCTGTCTGGTGGCGGTGTGCCGTCCTCCATTCCCCTTGCGTCGGTCGTTTTATTTCTTTGTTTGACTACGTAACTAAAGCTAAATCTCTCTCTCTCTCTCACTAACGAGTCTTCAATCAATCTTCTCCTCTCTGATGGCTTACTACAGTGGGCCCACTGTACTAACCAACGAGTTGGAAGAATAGTTCCTTCGGGACTGACAAATTGGACCCTAGCTGAAAAAAGAAACACATTTTCCGAAAAGAGGACGGCACGCCGCCACCACACAGGGATTTCACCCACGATCACCGGACACGGGCTCCCCGCCGAGGCGTCGCTCACCAGCGTTCCCGTCAGCGATGCCATCATTCGCGGCCGCTCTCGCGCTTTGCCATTCCATCGGAACCTTGATGGTGAGCAGCCTGCGCCTGGCGCCGTATTTTACATGGATGGTGCTGGTCCGCTCATTCCCAGCTTTCCTGATGGCTACGTGTCTTACTGTGTCGCTGTCGACGCCGGGTCCGGTTTCGGACGTATTTGGCCGTCGCATCGTGCCCAGCTCGACGCCGCCACTGCAGCCCGCTGCCTCGAGGCCTTTATTGCCCAGGTCGCCGCTTTGCTTGGTCTATTCAGTGCATTCAAGCCACACGTTGTTCGGTCTGACCAAGGCAGGGCTTTCACGAGCTTCCACTTCAGTGAATTCCTCGCCGAACGCCAGATCCTTCAAAGCCTTGCTTGTACGTATACGCCACAGCAGAATTCCCATGCTGAGCGCTTCATCGGCATCGTTTTTGGCACCGCTCGAGTTCTCCTCGCCGCCGCCAATTTGCCGCCTACGTTTCATCCGTTTGCACTGCAGACCGCTGCATGGTTACAGAATCGCCTCCCACGATCGACGCGCAATTGGCAGTCGCCCTTTCACCTCCTCAGTCGTATGCTACCATCCGTCGAGAACGTGTACGCCTTTGGTTGCTTGTGCGCTGCTGTCATCCCTGTGCCTCGTCGTGAGGGCGACCGCCACTTTGCTGACCGCGGTGGCATGGGCCTCTACCTCGGGCCCTCCGAAGTCAGCCCTGGACACGTCGTGTATTTGTTTGCGTCCAAGATCGTCCAGGTTGTTGCCAAAATTCGCGTTTGGGAAGATCAGTTTCCTGGGCTCAAGGGACATCGGTACTCTTGGTTTCCCAGCAACGAATCACTTCCGCCTGACAGCGGAATTGCCGAGTCTACCTCTGCTCCTCCCGTACGCGCCGACCCCGCCGATGCCGTCGCTGATGGACCCCAGGGCCGCGACCAGCGCAATGTTCGTCCCTCAACCGCCGGTGCTCGCCGTGACGCCCCCGCCCAGTCTGCTCCGCCGCCTACGCCGCATGAGGCGCCACCTAACACGCCTGCCGCCGCCAGTTCAGGAGGGGCTGAGGCATCCACCATCGAGGTCCCCGCCGACGTTTCCCGCGCCTCGCCGCGCGCTACGGAACCGATCCCTATGCCTGACCTTGAGCCTCGACAGCCTTTGCGCCGCTCTGCACGCCTTAAGGAGCTTGGTCACTTTGCTTGCTCGTTCCTGAGTTACTACGTCGTTCCTACTGCGTGCCTCGCCGTCAACATGTCTGCCGCCCTCATCTCCAATGCCGTCTACTGCGAATCATGTGCCGCCGATTTCTTAGCCTTCGCCGATTGCCTTGGATCCGTCGACACCGCTTTCGACACTTACGATCCTATTGGCAACGAATTCTCACTCATCGCCGCCGCTCGGATTGCCTGCACTGCATACGCAGTTACCCTCACCGCCGATCAGGGTGCACTACGAGTGCCTAAAAGCTACCGGCAGGCCATGTCTAGCCCTCAAGTCGAGCAATGGCGCGAAGCTATTAACAAGGAACTTTCTGGTCTCATTGCCCTCAACACCTGGGACCTTGTACCGATTGCTTCGATTCCTGCCGCCGCCAATATTATGCACTGCCACTTCGTATTTGCAATCAAGCGCAAGGCTGACGGTTCAATCGACAAGTTCAAGGCACGCCTTGTCGCCGACGGCAACACTCAGAAGCATGGTGTCGACTTCAATCGCGTCTTCGCCACCGTCGTCAAGGCCCTTACTATCCGGCTCGTACTCGCCATCGCCGCCGCCCGTGATTACAATTTGACTTCTCTCGATATTCGGCAGGCTTATTTACAGGCGACCATTGACGAGGATCTGTACATGCGCGTTCCTCCAGGAGTCAACAGTGGCAACAACTCCCTCGTTTGCAAACTGCGGCGCAGCCTTTATGGACTCAAACAGGCAGGGCGAGAGTGGGGGCTACTCCTCACCTCCTTCCTCGTTTCCTGGGGATTCGTTCGCTCGACCATCGACGTGTGGCCGTGGCGTTATCTCTGTCGAACACCTCCCCGGCGTCGTGATGCTCGCCGACCTGCTCACGAAGGCTGCCTCGCGGGCCATCTTTACTGGCCTTATCAAGCAGCTTGACGACTTTCATGCCCTCTGAATTTGTTTGTCCCTCGCGCCCCGCACTCGGGCCAGGAGGGGCTGTTCCCGGGCATTCACACTATGTTCGGGAGATAATTTGGCGATTATATCCATAAGGGATTTCATCCCTTATTGGATTGGAGATTCGTGTTTTGGTTCCGGTTTTGGGTAAAACGTATACAGCGAACGCGATGCGGCCGCCTGGCTTCCTGCTTCTATGCGCGAGCTACGGCGTGACCGCTATCGTTCAGCCTATTTTTGCGATCGGTTCGACCTCCTCGCGAGCGAGTGGGAACAGAAGCAGCGAGCCCTCCCCGTTCCGCGGCGGTGCGCCGCGTGCGCTGAGATTCGGCCGGAATGGATGACGACGCTCAAGTGCGTCGACCGCAGCCCTCCACTGCGCGCCGCGCCTGCGCTCCCCACCCTTTTGCGCAGCAACACCTTAAACTTTTCAGGCCCTCCAAATTCGGGTCGGAGCGTAGCGGAGTGGGCCCCGAGTTTGAAAAAAGGCGACGGACGCTTGCGTCCTAGCCTCCAACAACGCCTCCCCGGCGCAGAGGGGCCCCCGGAGGGATGCGCAACCGCTCCACGCCACGCCGCTTGCGGCGGTCCTCTTCCCAGCTCCGCTGAGGGCGCGTGCGTTATTCTTTTGGCCTCGGCGTCGGACACACACGTTGCTCCATCCACCTCCAACCATGTCGATCGGCATCCTGAGCCGCTTGAGAGGAGCCTGCTCGACACGGGTCGGCCTTAGCTCGGCTGCAGCGGCTGCGGCGGCGGTGGCGGCATCGGCGCTCGTGCAGCAGCAGCAAGTGCCGACTGCATGCGCGAGCGCCGACGTGCTGGTGATGAGTGGCGATTGCGGCGGGACCAACACTCGGCTGACGCTCTTCAAGGTGCCGGCCTCGCACAAGCTCGAGATGGGAAAGCCGCCCCCCGGCGAGGTGATATTCAGCAAGAAGTACCTCAACTCGTCGCACCTCAACTTCACCGACGTCTGCAAAGTTTTCCTGAAGGAGGCGGGCGACACGGTGCCCGCGACGTGCTGCCTCGCGTGCGCGGGCGCCATCAGTGACAACAAGGTGACCTTCACAAACGTGAAGGACGGCTGGACGATCGATGGCGCCCTCCTCGAGAAGGAGCTCGGCATCGGCCGGGTGAAGCTCATAAACGACTTTGAGGCGCAGGGCTATGGCCTGCTCACGCTGAGCCAGGACGAAAAGGTCGAGCAGCAACCGCACACACGCGCCACCATGCACGCGCGCCATCGCCCACCACCGCCGCCGCCAGCACCCACAGCACACACCTCACGCCGCCGCCGCCGCCGCCCAAACTCGTCACCTCGGCCACGCCACTGCCGCAGGTCAACCTCAACGGCGGAGTGCCAAAGCCGGGCGCTCCGATCGCGTGCCTCGGCGCGGGCACGGGGCTGGGCGAGTGCTACCTCACCGCCGACGCGAGCGGCCGGTAACGCAGCGACTGCTCCCTTCTGCCGAGCTGTGGGGCAGCGTCTCTTCACACGTGGAGCTGTGAACAGGTACACTTGCTTCCCCTCGGAGGGCGGGCACGCCGAGTGCGCGCCTGCGCTGCTGCGGCTCCTCCCGCCGCGGCGCGCGCGAATCAACGCGTCACTCCATTCGTTCCTCAGGTACGCGCCGATCGACGACCTGACCCACGATTTGCGCGACTGGATGATGAACAAGTTCCTCTTCACCGGCGACAACAAGGGCCGCCACAAGGAGGACGGCGCCTCGGCCAGAGCTGTCCCTCACCACCTCCGGACCCTGCTGCAGGCTACTACAAGAAGGGCAAGCGCGTCTCGGTCGAGCGGGTCGTCTCAGGGCCTGGCCTCGCAAACATCTACGCCTTCCTGCGCGACCACTGGGCGATGGACTAGCCGAGATCGAGCCGAGATCTCAACCTAGCCTCAGGAGGCGCACCACCGCGCTCGCTCTGCCGCTCTCGCGTGCTCGCCGACTCGCGCGTGCTTCGCTCCCCACGCCGCCCGCGCGCGAGCAGGCCTTTGTCGACTTCCGCAACGAGTTTGTCGACCTCGAGTTTTCAGAGGCGCCATGGCACATGCAGGGCGCCATCGTCGCGCGCGGCGCAAAGTCGGGCGACATCATCTGCCGCAAGGCGAGAGTCTGGGCCTCCCCCGGCGGCTGCGGGAGAGGAGCCGAGACCCCCCGAGACCGGCCTGCGGAGTAGGCGGTCAAGATCTTCACGGAGAGCTATGGCAGCGAGGCGGGCGTCGCGGCGCTCAAGTGGATGCCCAAGGGCGGCCTGTACATCTCTGGAGGCATCGCGGCGAAGAACCCGGAGTGGATCAAGTCGGAGGCCTTCTACGACGCGTACAAGAACAAGGGCCGCCTCTCGCCGATGGTCGAGTCGGTGCCGCTCTACCTCGTCCTGACGGAGGACACGGGCGAACGCGGCGCCCTCTTCGTGGCCGTCGGCATGGTGGCCTAGTGTGGGGCATATTGAGCACGCGCGTGCTGGCATCAGGCTGCGCAGCGGTCGAGGAGAGAGCTGCGAGAGCCGAGAGGAGAGAATGGTCACCCGACCGACTCGTTCTAATGTATAGGATCTCTCTCTAGAAGAGCGGGCTGCGCCACTAGTACTGTATCTCTAGAAGACGCGGCCCCCAAAACCATTGTTTGTTTCAATCACATGACGAGAAGTGAAAGCGAGAGCTCAGGCTCGCTCACAGGCACGTGCGTGTGATCAGAGAACTGTAGCGCGCGCAGCCGCCGCGGGCGCCGGTCGCGAGAGAGTGCCCTGTCCACACGCAGGGAGACGGGAACGAAGGGGGCGCCTCTTCCCTCCTCTAGCCGTACGAGTACGTCCCCCCTCCTGACTGCAACCTCGACCCATCGAGGGGCGTCGCGCTCGGCCACGGCTCGTCGTGGCAAGCGCCCGAGTCGACACCGAGGTACGTGTTGTGGTCGAGCCAAGTGAGGCTCTTGCGCGGCAGCGACGAGGAGCAGAGCGGGTTCGGGTCCGAGGCGGTCGACGCGTCCTGCGCGGCGAGGGAGGAGAGGGGTCGCGTCGAAGGCAGCAGCGGCGAACGGCGCATCTCGGCATGTCTCGGCGCGTCTCGCGGAGCTGCAGCTCGCCTCCTCGCTAAAGACGCCCGAGCTGTTGCAGAAGAGCGCCTTGGCCGGGTCCGGATCCCCCGCCACCGGCAGCCACACCTCCTGGCCTGGATGGGCGTACTGCCTCCAGCCGCCCGCCGGGCACGGGATGCTGAGCTGCAGGCCGGTCGCCAGGAGGTTGGGCGCGTGCACCGCTGCATCGTGGCTGTTGACCACGCGCAGCAGCACGTTGGCGCGCTCGTCGAGGCCGGCGTCCACCAGGTCGGCGAACTGGCGGTCGCCCGCCATTGGGCTCGCAAAGGTGACGAGGAGCGGCGCCGCCGCCTCCGGCCGCTCGAAGAAGAGGTTGACCTCCGGCGGCGAGGGCGGCGGCGGCGGCGGCGGCGCGGGCGCCTCGGCGGTGGCGACGCAAGTGTGCACGTCAAAGGCGGGCATGGTTGCGGGGCACGGGTCCTGGTCGTCGCTGCAGGAGGGGCGGCCGAGGCAGCAAACGGTGGGGAGGAGGGGCTGGGGGCAGGAGAGGGCAAGAGAGGCGGGAGAGGCAACCTGCCCTGCTTGCAGCACGCGCCGCCCTGCCCACAAAAGGCTGGGCACGCGCCCGCCCCGCCGCACGCCGCCCAGCAGTCGCGCAGCGGCGGCGGGCGGCGCGGCTCGCCTGCGAGCGGGCGGCGGTGGCGGTCGGTCAGCGGTGGCCCTCGGCGCGCGAGCCGGCTGGAGGCGCGACGAGCGCCACCGTAGAGAGCGTCAGCAACAAAGAGGGAGGCGAGGGCACCGCCCGCGCTGTGCCCCGTCACAACCAGCCTGTATTGCGGGTGCTCCGACAGAGCCTGCACGGCCGCGGCCCACACGCGCCCCCGCAGCTTTGAGTATCCCAGCCCCCACCCGCGGTGAATCCAGGCGCCGCAGCCACCAAAGCGGTACTGCTCCGTCCAGCACTGAAGGTTGCGGCCCCACGCGCCGAGGTTGCCGTCGACCGAGCCGCGGAAGGCAACCACCACCCACTGCAGCGCCTCGTGCACCCCAACCAGCGCGAGGAACGAGCCGCCGTCCGATAACATCACCTTTGGGCGGCGGCTGAGGCCGAGCCCGCCACAGCGAGAGCAGTCCCACACCAGGAGGCGCTGCGGCGGGCAGAGGAGCGCGCCCGCGAGCGAGAGGAGGAGCGTGGCGTTGGAACCCTCCCACGTGGACCGCGCGAGCTCGGCGCGGTCGGGCGGCAGGACCGCCGCCTTTGCCACACACACTTCGCTGCTGTCGATAGCGCTGCCGCTGCGGCTGCGCCGATCGCGCGAGGGCGGCGGGCCATAATACTCGCTGCGCGTGAGCGGCGGTGTGTCGTCGTGTGACAAGGGCGGTGTGTCGTCACTGAAGGGCGGCGCGTCGTCACTGAAGCCGACAGGCCACTGCAGCACAACTGGAGACTGCAGGAACATGCCCCGCTCGCTCGGCGTGTTCACCGCCACCCGCGACGTTTGTGAGGCGAGAAGGAGCAGGGCTGTGAGGCCGAGGAGCGCCGCAGCGAGGACGAGGAACGGCGAACTGGCTAGGCGGCGAGGGGGCGGCGAGAGCATGCTACTGCAAGAGGCGATCCCGGGGGCCCAACCTGTCGCGAACCTGGGGCAAGCAAAAGCGAAGAAGCAAAAGAAGGCAAGTCGCAAAAAGAAATGCTCGCTATAAAGAGAAATGCTGCCAAGCTCGACTCTCCGCCTTCCCATCGAAGGCAATCGATCGTCTGGACGAATGCTCCGCCTTCTCGCTCTCGCGTGCCTCTCCTCGCTCGCGGCCGCGCTGACGCCCGCATCGGCGCCGAGGGCGCCGATCAGCCGCTCCCCACGCACGGCCGCGCCCGTGGCGCAGCAGTGGGCCACCGACCAGGGCTACCAGCAGCAGGGCTACCCGCAGCAGCAGGGCGGCTACCCGGACCAGCAGGGGTACCAGGAGCAAGGGTACCAGCAGCAGGGCCAGGGCTACGCGGCAGCTCCCGCCCCCTTCGACAACCAGCCGCAGGGCCTGCCCTTTGGCTGGGTGTCTGGCGTGGACGAGGCGCGGCACGCCCAGCGCGGTGGATGCGGCTGTTGCCCGGCTCGGGACGTGGGGATGCGGAGACGTGCCCCCCCCCCCCCCCTGCCCCGACCCGCTCTGCCCAGACGCGTGCCCTCCTTCCCCAAAGGCGAGCGGCATGACGTACTACTACAACGAGCAGACGGGACAGTCGCAGTGGGAGCCTCCTCCGGGGGCGGCGGCGGGGGCGGGGGCGGCGGGCTACGGCGGCGGCCAGTTCGCCGCGGCGGGCACCTGGCAGGTGTGCAACGCCGCGGGCACCTGCTTTGTCGTCCGGCCGGGCGAGGTGACAACACGCCTTAGCTGCTGCGCGGCGGACCTCCCACCGCCTCCCACACCTCGGCCCACGCGAGAGAGAGAGGGGCCGCCTCGCACGACTTGATGCGCGAGAGAGACCGGTACACGCTGCGCCGAGAGCACTCTCTTGCTCGCGCCAGTGGCTCTGTCGAGGGCCCTATTGTGATCCGTGCCTCCCCCACTCACCCCCCCCCCCCTCTCAGGACCACATCATCGGCCGCAACGACCTCCCTGTGCCGAAGAACACGATCTCGCGCTCGCAGTGCCAGATCCAGGTCTCGGCCGACGGCACCGCAAAGGTGATGTCGTGTGGCAAGCCGGAGACGGGCTACGCGTCGGGCGGCCGGCCGTGGGAGTTTCTGCGCTGCTACGAGTCGCGGCAGCTGCAGAACGGCGACCTGATCAGCCTCGACAAGAACGACTTGGAGAGCGCGATGTTCACGTGCTACGTCTCTTAGCCGCCAACTGGCGGCGCCCGGCGCACGCGGGGCGTGCGCTGGGGCAACATGAAAGGCTTGCTGCTGTGTCGGGGTGGTAGAGGGGGAGGCTCGTGACAGAAGCCGCTCTCCTCTGCCGCGTGAAGTGGAGTTGTGTCGCTATCGGGCGCTGCGTGGTGTCGTCGTCGTTTGGAGTTGCCGGCGTCGGGGCGCCGCGCACGCATGAACTGCTGGCCATGTCGAGACGTTCTTGGGGGGGTGTCTTGTCGTATAGAGAGTAGCGCGCAGCGGCACCACCGCGCGCGGCGCGGGCGCCGGGAGCGCGGGGGGGGTTGTTGCACGAGTATATGGGACAAAAGCGTCGAAAATGTCCCAAAAAAGCGTGTCTCGAGTTTGTGGCAGCTCCGGAGCCAGCGCGGGCTGCCAGGACGCACCGCTCGCGCGTTCGGCACACTCGGTGGACCCCACCGAGTGTGCCGAACCAGCTGGAGTGAGTAGGCTCGATGCCGCGCTCGCTGTGGAGCTGCCACAAACTCGCCGCCGAGCGTGCCACCGACGGCGTCCCGGCGGAGGTGATGGAGTGTGAGACCTGAGGCTGCGGAGGTGACGCCTGAGGTACCGGTCCGTGCACAGCGACTCAGCCGGCGACCGCCACGGGCTCAGACGAGACTTGTCGACTCGTTCCAGCTCAGCTTCACCGTGGTCCTCGGGCGTCTGTCGACGTCAGGACCACCCATACAGCTCGCGGGTTTGAGGTCGCAAGAGCCAAGGTGGTGGCGTTTGGACATCCCAACCATCACACAAGACAGCCTGTAGGTGATGGCGGGACGGCGCAGTGTTTGTGGCACTCGGCAGTAGGCACCCGCGGCACGGCCCCGCTGTCGGCTCTCGCGGGCTGCGGAACCGGCCCCAGAAGGGGACGGTCCGGGCGAGTGTGGCAGCTCCTGCGCTAGTATGGGCACCCTCTATTATAGCACTACTGATCCTGGTCATTAGAGCTGCCAGGGATAGCGTCAGGAGCTGGTAGGAGTCAAAGCCCCTCATATTTGAGACATCGTGTCCCATATACTCGTGCAACAACCCGGGGGCGGTGTGGCCGCGCGCGCGCCCGGTTCTCCGGTGTCGCGGTGTGGTCTCTGGTCGGCGGAGAGCGCGTCAATGTGGTTGTCGGTGTTTCGGCCTTCCTACAGTTTCCCCCGTATAGAGTCTTAATATTGATAATTCGCCAATTCGACGAGGTCGAGAGGAGATGCGAGATCAGAGATGCGGCGAGAGCTTTCTCTCCACGGAGACGAAATAAATAAATAAAAACGGACACCTCTCTACTGTGAGATGGGTAAAAAGGAACAGGTCCCCGCCCTTGCGATCTTTGTGCAGGGTTCTTTGTGGGTGTGGTCGGCGACTAGCCGGGGTCGTCCTCCCGATGGGGACTAGCATTAGCCGTCTTCCACATGGTCCCTCGGGTCCCTGCTGCTCCTAATCTCTTCGTACATCCTCCTGCTGATCTCCGCAAAGTCCTGCTCCCTCCCTCGTCTCGCCCTGCGCGTCTGCTCCAACTCTCCCCCGTCGTCTGCCCTGCGTCGTCTGGCGACGGGTCCTCCATAGTCGGTCGAGGTCGCCGCCCTCCTCGTGCCTCTTCCCAACGTTCCCTCGGCGGCCGATGCCGTCTGGTCCGACTCCGCCGTCCCCGGGTCTGACCTGCCCTCGTCTGCACTAGCTTCTGCTTCGTCCTCACCGGCGTCTCTCCTCTTCCCTCTCCCCTTCTTGTATGCTTTGCACATCGCGTCGATTCCTTTTCGCGTGAGCACCACCCTGAAGCCCGCCCAGCAGCTGAACCGCTCCCTAAGTCGAAGGAGCATCATCAGTCTCACCCACTTTGCTCGCTGCCCACTGTCTCCGCTCCCTCCCGCTTGAGCCGCCGTCGCGGCCCTTGTTCGTCCCACTGGCTGCTGGCCTGTCTGCACGTTATCTCCGTTATCCCTCCTCCTCCGCGACTCCCTCAAGGCCGGCCGGGCCTCCTTCCACCCAGCGAAGAGCTTCCTCAGCCACTCGATGTGTTCCTCTCTCTTCATTATGCGCGCCGTAGCCTCATCATTGAGCTGGATCCACCTCTGCACCGCTCCCGTCGCCGCCTCGGCCACGACTTGCAAGTTCCTCGTGACCCCGGTGCCAAGGTCCCTTCGGTTCTTCTCCGAGAGGTCATCTACCAGTGCTGGCAACACCCCCCTGACTGCGGGAGCTAGCGCATCGTACCCGTCCTCATCCAGCACCCTATAGCGTGAGCCCTTCAGCGCAGCGACATGCGCCATCCTCAGCGTCTTCAGCGTATCCTTGGAGTCGGGTGCCGCCTGTGCCACTTTGCTGATCGCCGTCCCTGTCTGCGCTCGCGCTACTCTGAGGAACCATCTGGCCTGCTCCCTATTCCCCAGGCAGGCGCCGCTAAGCACGTGCGCCATTGTCGCTCTAGGCGGGTTCTCATCTTCCTCGGTCCATTGCTGCGCGGCTTTCCGCACGATCGGACACAGCGGGTCCCGCTTTAGCGCTGCCCTCCTCGCCGCGTCCCTCGCGGCCTTACAGACGAGGCAGCCCCTGAGTTCGCTCCTTGTGGCGGCGCCCGGGATCTCTCTCCCCGCCTCTCCCCGCATGATCCTCTCGTGGTGCGTTCCGTGTGGCACCCCCGCCTGCTGCCGCACCCGCGCTCCCATGACAGTCTTTGTCACCACGTTATGATCATCCACATCGGCGAATTCAATCTCGCGCTCGCCGTGTTGATCCTTGATCCGCTGGCGCTTGTCCCATTTGTGTCTCGTCGTTCCCCTGACCACATCGCTCCACAGCGGCCCCGTCACCCCTGCCGTGTGCGATCCCGCCGTGAGTCCCTCGCCGAGCCGTCCTCGCACCCACTCGTTCGTGTGGCCGCGTGTGGCGTAATAGGTCCTCCGTTCCAGTACGTCTCCCCTCCACTCTCCGTCTGCCGTCCTCTGGCGGTCCGTGTACAGGCACGGGCGTGTCCTCACTGCTTCACGGATGACGGCGGTGGCATCCTCAATCTCGCTGGCCCCCATGTATGCCGTCGCCGCGGCGTCGGCGTAGGCGTTGCTAGCGCACCCCGCGTGGCTCGGTACCCACAGGAACGTGACGGATTCGAGCTGAGCGCGATATCTGCATATCCCCTCTAATGCCGCTCCTCGATCTTTTTTCGTTTGTACGCGGTGCTGGCTTACCTGCGTAAGATGGCAACGGCGGAGGATGCGGCGGACAGGAGGTTGCCCATCATGACCTGCGTCCCGTTTCTGTCGGACAGCGCCCGTGTCCCGACCTCAAATTCGTCCCACCGCAGTAGGAAGCGCGTAAGCGGATCCTCCTGGAGTTCGGCGTCTCTTACCCACGCGCCACGGAGACGAGGTGGCAGAGGCTAGTTCCAATTCACTCTCTGACACGCTGTCGCTCGAATCTTGAAAACGTCCAACGGAGCTCCGTGTTGCTCCCTGCGCCATCCCCCGCGCTCCCTGCGGCCATGGTCGATGATCCTAGTATGAGAGGTCATCTGGCTACCGCGAGAGCGACCCAGCTCGTCGATGTCGTCCGATGATGGTGCCTCAAAGTCAGCCTTCGGAGGCTATCGTGGGGTCGAGCCGGCAGTAGCCGCGACATGTGGTTCCACCACCCCTCGTAGGCTTTGCCTCTGCTCGCCACCGTTCCCAGGCTGCCTAATGGGATGAAAAGGAAGGCTGGGCGAGCGTATAGAAGCGTGCTCGACCTTGTCGTGGCAGCCTGCACGGCAGCGCTGGCAGGCGCGATGAGCGTCGTGCCACCTGACCGGAGACGGGTCGCAGGCGTCGTACCGAGCGCGTCGAAACCATGTACTGATGACATGTGCTCTGCACGGGCGAGTCACGTCGGCGTCAAAGGAGCGACGTGCGACCTGTCAGAGCTTGATCTCCGATCTCAGCGGCGTCGAGTCGTCTCCGGCGCGCGACAAAGGTACCTCCCCAGGATCGCAGCTGCCTCTGGAAGGCACCGAGAGGGGTACGAAATGGCGCAAATCAAGAGATTGTGTAATTGAGCTGTGCCACTGTGAAATGGAACTAGCCAGAGCCAGACACGAGGCACAAGCCACCTCGAGACAGAGGCAGCGCCGCCGGAGCGCAGCTCGAGCTAGAGCGCAGGGTTCCAACTCAGTCGCGCTCCCAATACGTGCATCACTTTTGTGACAGGTCTCAGACTTTGAGCGGCCATATCTCGGTAACTATTGAAAACTCTTCGGATTTGGAACGGGCGCCGGAAAAACGGACACCTCTCTACTGTGAGATGGGTAAAAAGGAACAGGTCCCCGCCCTTGCGATCTTTGTGCAGGGTTCTTTGTGGGTGTGGTCGGCGACTAGCCGGGGTCGTCCTCCCGATGGGGGACTAGCACTCTAGCCGTCTTCCACATGGTCCCTCGGGTCCCTGCTGCTCCTAATCTCTTCGTACATCCTCCTGCTGATCTCCGCAAAGTCCTGCTCCCTCCCTCGTCTCGCCCTGCGCGTCTGCTCCGCCTCACCGTCTTCTGCCCTGCGTCGTCTGGCGACGGGTCCTCCATAGTCGGTCGAGGTCGCCGCCCTCCTTGTGCCTCTTCCCAGCGTTCCCTCGGCGGCCGATGCCGTCTGCTCCGGCTCCCCAGTCCCCGGGTCTGCCCTGCTCTCGTCTGCGCTAGTGATGCACGTATTGCGTTGGGAGCGCGACTGAACTTTTTCCGGGGTATGGTATGGTAGTTGGTACGCTCGGCCAAAACCCACCTCTTGGAAGACCTGCTTGGGGTATGGTAGGGCTAGCCTTGGGCGGTCAGGACCATACCCCGGGAAAAAAACTAAAAAGTTGCTGTTTCGTAGTTGGAACCGAGACTGATGATGCTCCTTCGACTTAGGGAGCGGTTCCGCTGCTGGGCGAGCTTCAGGGTGGTGCTCACGCGAAAAGGAATCGACGCAATGTACAAAGCATACAAGAAGAGGAGAAAGAAGAGGAGAGGCGCCAGTGATGACGAAACAGAAGCTAGTGCAGACGAGGGCAGGTCAGACCCGGGGACGGCGGAGGCGGACCAGACGGCATCGACCGCCGAGGGAACGTTGGGAAGAGGCACGAGGAGGGCGGCGACCACAACCGACGACTATGGAGGACCCGCCGCCAGACGACGCAGGGCAGAAGACGGTGAGGCGGAGCAGTCGCGCAGGGCGAGACGAGGGAGGGAGCAGGACGTTGCGGAGATCAGCAGGAGGATGTACGAAGAGATTAGGAGCAGCAGAGACCCGAGGGACCATGTGGAAGACGGCTAGTGCTAGTCCCCCATCGGGAGGACGACCCCGGCTAGTCGCCGACCACACCCACAAAGAACCCTGCACAAAGATCGCAAGGGCGGGGACCTGTTCCTTTTTACCCATCTCCTAGTAGAGGTGTACGTTTTATTTATTTATTTATTTAGTTGGAACCCCCAGACGCCAGAGGGGTGAGATTTCGCCAAAAACGAAAAAGCAACTCCGCTCATTGTGCTTTTCTTGGGGGGCGCTGTCCTGTCTAGAGACCCCCTACCTCAGTTAAGAGTAACACCGGACCACGACGCACGAGTGTGTCCCGCTGCCCCCCGTAGCCCCGTTCCTGGTCAAAATACACGGCTCCAGGACAACCGACGGGGTCGGCCCCAACGCCCTCTCTTGGCCGGGGTACAGCGGGAGCCGACAGCTGCGCCTGCGGTGTTGCTCCCGCGGCGGATGTGACCGCGATGTGTGGCAAGCCTCTTCTCATGCAACCTCTAGCATGCAACGTACCTATACCACCAGGCGATGGCGGGGGCCGGCGAGTCGCCGCTGTCGCGAGCCGCGTGCTCCAGTCGCCCGCCCCCCTCTCCCGAGATGAGCGCGCCAATTAGCCCATCTCCGCGGGACCCATCGTCAGTCCGCGAGGGCCCGCAGCTGCCAGCGCGCGAGGCTGCCGCTCGGCCCCTTGCCGCCTGGGCCGGCCTGCTGGTCGAGGTGCTGGTCGAGGTGCTGGTCGAGGTGCTGGTCGAGCAAGCCTCGCGACCCCATCACCTCGAGGAGGAGGCGCACCTGTGGGGCAACAGGAGGAGGCGCGCCTGTGGGTGAGGGAGGCGAGGTGCCGAGGGAGGCGAGGTGCCGAGGAGGCGCTCGAGGTCCGAGCCGAGGCCAAAGCATCCCTCGAGCGGTGTGCGTGCCCCGCTCGCTGGCGAGGCCGACGCTTGGTCGAGGCTGGGCCGAGGCTGGGCCGAGGTTTGAGCGCGCCCGCTCGCAGTCGAGGCCGCCCACGCGCTCCGTGAGTTGCTCGAGCGAGGCGGGGCCGCTCTCCTGCTTGCGCGGCGGTGAAGAGCTGGCCGGCGGCGCGAGAGGCAGGGCGGGCCGGGACAGCAGGGCGGGGCGGGGCAAGAGGGCAAAGTGGGGCGGGGCACGGTAGGGCAGGGGCGGGGCAGGGCGGGGCAGGGGGCAGGGGGCGGGGCGGGGAAGGGAGGGGCGACACTTTAGCGAGCGCCGCGTGCAGCGCGAGCAGCTGGGTCGCTCCGACGCCCGTGCGAAAGACGGACGGGAACTCCTGCGGGGGCATGCGGCGGCCGAGTCATGGACGCGTCGTGGACGTGCCCGAGCGGACGATGTGGGCGGGAGAGGGCCTCGAGCAGCAGCGGCGGCGCGGCGACGAGCGGAGCCGGCGGGCCAGCCTCCCCGGCGGGCGGCGGGGAGTGGTTGGGCGCGGGCGAGGCGATCATCCTCGGGAAGGAGACGCGCCTGGTCACAGCGCGAGGCGTGAAGAGACGCGCGCACGAGCCCGCCCCCTCCCTCGACCCGGGGGACCTCCCGGTGGCAGTCACGCGGGGCGAGACCGAGCGGGCAGGCTTGGAAGCGCTAGCGGGCCGGGCATGTCTGGCGGCGCTGAGCGGGGGGCGGCTGCGGCTCGGCCGAGGCGCGCTCTTCGGCGCTTCGCACGCGCGCCTAGACGGCAAGCTGGCGGCGAGTCGAGGACGCGCCCCTCCCTCTCTCTCCCCTTCGCCCTCTCCCCCGCGCGCGCCTCGCCGCCGCCGCCGCCCTCGCCGGCGTGCTGCGCAGCACGCGCGACGGCGGGGTCTGCCTGGCTGGTGGAGAAGCGGCGGGGCGTGGCCCGGTCGGCAGCCCCGTCTCCTCCTCCCACGCCGCCTCGAGGGCACCCGCCGCTGCTCCCGCGTCCTCGCCGCCCGCCTCCGCCTGGTCGACCGCCGCCTCGCCCTCTTCCGCCTGGTCGGCCTTGGCGGGCGGGCGCTTGGTCGAGCGGGGCGGCGAGCGGATCACGGGAGTCGCCTCGCTCGAGCAGGCGCTGCTCGAGCGCGACCTGCGGTGCGGGCGAGGAGTGCGGCCGTGGAGAGGCGTCGGGAGGCGGCTCGCCCCAGCCCCAATCCCCAGGCCGCGCCTTGCGCCCGAGTGCGTCATCGCGCGCGAGAGGCGGCGGATGCTGAGGGGCGGCGTGCGCGCGAAGCCTGCGGACGTGTCAGCGGGACGTGTCAGCGGGACGTGTCAGCGGGACATGTCAGCGGGGCGTGTCAGCGGGACGTGTCAGCGGGACGTGTCAGCGGGACATGTACATGTCAGCGGGGCGTGTCAGCGGGACGAGTGAGGGCGAGGTGGGACGGGAGAGGGGCGAGCAGGGCGGGGTGAGAGGAGCGGGGTGGGCGAGGGGCGGAGGTGGGCGTCTCGCGCCCGGCGTGAGGAGCAGGTCGCTCTCCGCGCTCAAGCGGCCGGCGGAGGGACCTATCCAAAAGGCTGCGAAGAGCGTCATGGCGAGGTCCACTGCAGGCGCTGGAGGGGTCGGCGGCGGCGCCGGCGGAGGAGGGCTGAGCGGCGCGGCGGATGGAGCGCGGTGGCGAGCCTGTTCACGCCCGGCGGCGTGAGTGGACGCCCCTCCACGACTCGGGCTGCAGCTGCGGCGAGCCGAGGTTCGGCGTGCTCTCCGACGAAGCCGAGGAGAGGGGCGCGGCGAGAGGCGTGTCTCCGACCCCGCCGGCGCCCCTCCGGCCGCCGACCGCGAGCCTCCGCGTCGAGCGGGGCGGGGACGTCTCCATGGTCGGAGTGTCCATCGACCGGCGGCCTCCTCCTCCGCCGCCTCCGCCTCCGCCTTCTCCTCCTCCGCCACCGGCCGGGGTCGTGTGTGGTGCAGCGGCGGGGTGGGCCGCCGAGGGCGGGGGCGCGCCTTCGTGCGCCGCCTCCTCCTCCGCAACGAGCGGCGTCGTCGGGGCGAGTGGCGGTTCGGCTGCCGCCTCCGCCCGCTCCTCCGATGCCTGCTCCTCTGGGCCATCGCCGCCGTCGCCGCCGTCGCCAACCTCCGCCGCCGCCGGCTCAGCCGCTGTGGCCGCGCTCGGGAGCGGCTGTGGCTCGACGTCCACGGCGGGCGGCGGCTCAGCCTCGCCCGCGCACGCATCAGTCGCATCCGCTCGCGGCGCCTCGCCGGGTGGGTGGGATGCGGACGGTGTGGTTGTGGTGTCCGGCTTGAGACGGGTGCTTCTGCGCCGCGGCGGCTGCTCGAGGATGCTCTCGCGCCGCCGGCCGGGCGTCTTTGGCCTTGGCGGCGGCGCGACGGCCTTGGGGGCGGGCTTGCGCATGCACGGCATCTGCGCCAGCGGCGGCTGGCCTGCCCGCGGCCGGCGGCTTGTCGGAGGGCCGGCGGCGTTGCGGGGCGGTGGCGCCGGAATGGAAGACTGTCGCCGGCCGCGAGTGTTTGCAGCGGGGCCACTTCGCAGCGTGGCAGCGTGCTGGCGCGCTGCGAGCAGCCACGTTGCCTGCGGCAGGGTGGGTGGGCCCGTGAGAGACGGCCGCCGGTCCGGACGAAAGCGGCGCACGAGGCGCACCAGCTCGTCGAATTCGGGCAGCCCGAGCAGCGACTGGCCGAGAGCTCCGTCCGGCGTCGCCCCGTGCAGCAGGTCGCACAAACTCGCGGCGGAGGATTGGAATCGGTGGATCATGCTCATGGGCGGCAGGTGGGGTTGGGGTTCAAGAAGAGCGAGAAAAAGAATTCCGGTCGGTGCGGACGCCCAGCCAGGTCGCTGCACGCGGGGGCGACAGTGATGCCATCCGGGGCTGCGAGTCCAGCGAGGGCAAATAGAGCAGCGCCATTCAGAGCGCCGTGGCCAGGCCGTGGCCCCGTTGTTAGATCAGAGAGAGATTTTCAATACCAAACAACTCTAACACGCACACGTCATTTGGGGCCTGGAGCCCTGTTCACGCGCGCGCGAGGCGTGCAGACAGGGTTGCCAGGTGAGAGCGAATGGCGCGGTTCACGCCTCGCACAACAGAGAGAGAGATGCGCTCTGCATGCTCACTGCATGGTGGGACATAAAAGAGAGCGAGTACTTGGGCGAGTAGGCTGTGCGGTCAGCCGTTTAACGTTTGTGTTGTTTCGCTCTGCGAAACCCGGCGGCCAAGCCAGATCTTTTCTTTTTTTATCCCGGCGAGCTGAGCAGTTGCAGGCGGAGGCGCGTTTTAAGTATCTACCCACGGTGCCGGTGGCCAGGCCTGCACGCCTGGGGCGGCTGGCGCGGGGTCGGGGCCGGTCTGTGTCTGCCGTCGGAACAGCACAGCAGGAGCTGTGTGGAACAACTAGGTCAAAAAGCACAAAGGCTCAAAGCTGCCCCAAAACACTGCCTGATCTTAGCTCGATAACCCTACTCGCAACAGACTCCCCCTTCTTCCCTCGCCGAACTTCCCTTCACACATCACAGTCGTGCGGTAAGAACATTCGTTGGTACTCTCACACGCGCGCCCCCTCCTTCACCACGCCCAGCTCCTGGAGCGCCGCCGTGTGCAGCGGCAGCGGGTCGGGCCGCCCCTCCGCGAGTGCCCGCTGGCTGATCTTGTGGAACCAGCCGTTGCGCCACTCAAACTCCTTGACTGCCGTCGGGAAGTGCGCCACCGACCGGCCGTATGCGGCGAGCCGCTCGAAGGCGCCGGGCTCCAGCCGCACGCCCAGCGCCGCCTCGCCCGCCGCGCAGAGCTCGTCGACCAGCGCTCTGAGCTGGCTGGCGTGCGCGCTCTCCACCTGAGCGAGGGATAGGCCCGGCGCGGTTTCCGCGCGGCGCGGCTGGAGCCAGAGGCAGTGGCGTGTCTCACAGCGCTCACCTCGCCGACCGTGACTCCTCCGTGCAGCGCGCCCGTCACCATGAAGGCGCAGATCCACACGTGCTTCTCGAGCATCGCCTTGGTGTACTCGTCGCCCTGCTTGACGTGGCAAGTCAGCCCGCCGCCGGCGAGCCGCGCCCGGAACGCCTCGGCCCATCGCCCCTTCGCTGTGGTGAGGCCGTCCGGGTTGGTGTCGGTGATGCCGTCGATGGGAGGCTCTCCCAGCTTGGCGACTGCGAGGTACAGCAGTACCTGCGTTGCGTCGGGTAGCCCCTGCTCCTCGAGGAACTCGCCGAGCATGCCGTTCTGCAGGAAGACCAGATCCTGCCGCCGCTCCGGTGGCGTGGCCGCCACCACGCCAGCGAGGTCGTCGTTGCGCGTCGTCACGTAGATTGGACCGGAGGCGGGTGCGGCTGGGAAGGCGTCGCCTCGCCGCAGCACAACGTCTCCCTCGACGCCGAGCTCCTTGAGCGCCGAGCCGATCCTGCCACCTCCGACGATGATCGAGGGCACGTCCCCGCCGGCCATGCGAGCGCCGCGGCCGGCACGCGGCGCGGCCGGCGACGGCGCAGAGCCAGCGAGGAGTGACAGTGCAGGCGGCAGCAGCAGGGCGAACATTCTGCTCCTATGGCTGCCGCGGGGCGGGAATTTCTCTTTTCGATCCCAGCCACCGACCGTCGCTCGTGCCACCGTCGCTCGTAGAGCGCGTCTCGATGGCGCCATAGCGTCGAACACCCTCCCGCGGTCGTGAGGCAGGGGGCGGGGTCAGAGCCGAGAGGAGCGTGAATGGGAGAAGGACAGCGTCCCCATCTGCACGAGCAGGATCTTGGATACTGACTCATATGCGAAAAAATTGTTCTTGGGGCACAGGAGATCGCAGATCCGCGACAGCGAGTCGCAGTCGCAGAGAGTCGGACCGGGACCGCGATCGGACCGGGACCGCGACAGCGATCGCATGCTGCCTGCGCTTCTTCTGTCTGTCTCCTTCAGCAGCGGCCTCCGCCCCGCGTCGCGAGCCGGCTCGTGTCGAGCGGCCGCAGTCTGCCAGGACTCGAGCGAGATCTCCGTGCTGCAGCAGATGTCGGCCGCGTTCTGGGAGGGCAAGCGGGCGCAGCTGCGGGCCGAGTCCGAGGCGCGGCTGCGCGAGATGGACGAGTTCGTCGCGCGCGAGCAGGCGCTCGCCGGCGCGGCGCTCGGGGCGGGCGCTCCCTCCTCGGCCGGCTCCCTCGAGGCCGAGCAGCTCAAGATTGACCTGGCGGCCGAGCGGGAGCGCGTGCGCCAGCTCGAGCTCGCGCTTGCGCAGCAGCAAGTCGACTCGGAGCACGCGCTGCAGCAAGTGTCGGCCTACTGGGTCGCGAAGCTCGACGACGCGCGCGCCCAGCTGCCTCCCGCCGCCACGACCGCCGGCCAGCCTGGCAGCGCCGCGCCCGCCGAGGCTGCGCCCGCCGTGCTGGACCTGGTGCCGCAGAGCCTGCCGGAGGTGCGCGAGGACATGACGCTGCGAGAGCTGCGTGCCCATCTGCTGAGCTACGGCCTCTCCACCACCGGCCTCAAGTCGGAGCTGCGCGCGCGCCTCCAGCGGGCGCCGCCCAGCAACAGCCCCGCCGCCCTGTCCTCTGCCCCGGCCCTGACTCCAGCTCTCAAGGCTGTCGGCCGTCGAGCCTGTGGCATTGCAACACGCGCGCGGGCGGACGGACGAGGCGCCCCCGCCCGCGCACACCGACCGCCCCTTCCCCCTCCCGCCTGCGCGGCAGGCCATGATGGACGACCGGCTCAAGCACCTCGCCTGGGACCCGGAGACCCTCTCGTGGGCCGCCCCGGCCGCCTGAGGCCGCGCCCTCCCTCGCCGCCTCCTGCCGCCTCCTGCCGCTCGGGGCTGCGCGTGCCCGCGGAAGCCGCCGGTCTGTCCCGGCTCCGCGTCGCAGACGCGTTTCTCTCCCCGGGCGCTGCTGCGCGGGCACAAGGGCGGCACTGCATGCGTTGGCGCAGAGGAAACGATTCCGGTCTTCCGCTCGCCCTCTCGTATTTGGCTTATACTAGAGCGTATTAACTACGTGACTTAGTGAAAGTAGAAAGATCTTATTTCTCTCTTCGTTCCCCCCCCCGATGGTTCCCCTTTTCCGCCTTCGAGGCTCTCGAGCCGAAGAAACAAATGGGCCACAACGGTCCCATTCGCCCAGAAAGAAAGAAAGAAAACAGACAACCCAAGGGAGGGATGGGAGGTCGCCACGCCGCCACAACACAAGAAAGAAAGAAAGAAACCGGACACCCCGAGCCATTAAAAAAGAAAGAAAGAAGACAGACAAACCCAAACGTGAAACGAGGGATGGGGGAGGAGACAGGGACCACACCACACCTGCACGAGCAGGATTTTGAAAGGACGATCAGGGGCACAGCGCACAGCGGCTGACCGCACAGGTGGGGCTCTCCTGGTCCTGCTCCTGACAAGGGACACGAGTCACGACAGGCTCGGCGCTCGCAGCGCGGTGCCAGGTGCACGGTGGACTCCCAACTCCACTGGCGGTCTCATCTCAGTCTAGCGACCTGCCTCCAGCTTCTCACTGGCAGTCTCTCGCAACCACAGGCACACTGAGTGAAAGAAAGAAAGAAAACAGACACGCCAAGGGAGGGATGGGAGGACGGCACGCCGCCACCACACAGGGATTTTAAAGAAAGAAAGAAAGAAAACGGACAACCCAAGGGAGGGATTTTAAAAGAAAGAAAGAAAGAAAACACACAACCCAAGGGAGGGATGGGAGAACGGCACGCCGCCACCACACAGGGATTTTAAGGAGAGGAGTGTGGTGCGCTAGCCGTCGCCCACCCTGGGGAGTCTGCCTCTTCGTATCTCTTTTCGCAGTCTCAGGGATTTTAAAGAAAAGAAAGAAAACAGACAACCCAAGGGAGGGATGGGAGGACGGCACGCCGCCACCACACAGGGATTTCAAGGAGAGGTGTGTGGTGCGCTATCCGTCGCCCACCCTAGGGAGTCTGCCTCTTCCTATCTCTCTTCGCAGTCTCTCGCCGATTCTCGCTGCAACCTTCATGCCAAACACACTGAGTGAGCGCAGACTGGAATTCTTTTACTGAGTACCAAAAGCTCACCAAAACGCGGCCGCCGTACCTTGGCTCCAGCCCAAAAAACCTCTGAGTGTCGGAACCGCCTGATCGCTGCAGTCGCCTCAGGATGTCAGAGCGCTGCTTCACCGCGCCTGATCTCCACAAGATCGGCGTACTGATGCCACTGACTGACAACGGCGACCCTCAGCACTGGAAGGCGATGGCCTGCGCCGCACTGCTCGCCGTCGCCCACTTCAACGCTCGCGACGGCAGCGTGGTGCCGGCCTTCTCACAATCTTCCGGCGTCTCGAGCCTCGCTTTCAACCTCTCCGCCCGACTATACGACACCGCCTACACACCAAACGGTGCTGTCGAGGCTTTCCGAGTGGCGCAGGATGCGGGAAGCGCCGGGCTCGTCGGTCCGTACCGCTCTGCAAGCAGCATCTCCCTATATCCGCGCGGCGACTTCCTCGACCTACCGCTCGTGTCGTACGGCTCCACGTCCGTTGTCCTCTCAAACAAGCCCGCCTTCTCCCGCACCGTCCCGACTGACGAGGACTCTGCGGCGGTTGTGGTGAGCGCGATTGGCGGCTTCGGCTGGCGAAACTTCAACATCGTTCACGTCAATGACGCCTGGGGTAGTCCGTACGCGCAGCTCATCGCGGCGCGCGCAGCAGCCTGCGGCCTCAACCCGCCTCTAAAGATCAAGTTCGAATATGATGACGAGCAATCTGCGCGTGAAGCTGTCCGGACGCTCAGCAAGCAGCCGCAAACCATCGTCGTGCTTCTCGCCTTTGTCAACGACCTGCCCGGTATATTCAACGAGGCGGACGCTCTTGGCCTGTTGAGCGGCTCGCACGCCTGGATCGGCTCCCGCTCCTTCTCGCCCGCCTCGGTCAATGCTCTGGTCGACGCCGGCCGGATCTCCAACACCACACGAGACAAGCTCGAGGGGATGCTGCAGGCAGGCCACGCGCCAAACACCGAGAGCTTCGGGCTCTTCAAGCAGTCCTTCGCCCGCCTCTCCCCAAAGGAGTGCGAGGCGCAATCTAGCCGAGATAGAGTCGAGATATAGCCGAGGTGTGCCGAGAGGTAGCCGAGGATATACGAGAGAGAGCCGAGATCGCTTCACCCTTCTCTCCCAGACGCAGTGGCGAGGGGATTGGGTGCTGGCCGCCTCTCTCACGCCTGTATCCGCGGACAGGCGATGGACCCGCAGCTCGGCGGGATGGAGCCCTCCACCTTTGCAGACCCGCCTGAAAACACGGCCTACGCCTTCGATGCCACCGCCACCGTCGCGCTTGCTCTGAGGGAGCAGAGGGAAGGCAACCTCACCTCCGCCAACCTCTCCACCGCAGAGCTGCTGAGGCGCGTCTCATTTGAGGGCGCGAGCGGCGCAGTCTCCTTCGGCGGGGAGGGGCACGGGGCGGGAGACCGCAATGTCGCGTCGCTATCGAGCGAGCTGCGCTCGTGGCGGCAGGAGGACGGGGCGGGCGAGCTCGACTACGTCCCGCTCCCGCTCGAGGCTGGCGCAAACCCGTGCTTCGCGACTCTGTCGCCCGAGGCGGCCGCGGGCATGGTCTGGCTTGGCGGAGGGTCGACACCGCCTCGCGACGCCATCCTCGTGGCGGAAGAGGAGGAGCGGAGGCGGCGCGACGAGGCGCAGGCACTGGTGTGGAAGCTCTGCGTCGGTGTCGGCGTGCCGGGCCTGCTCCTCCTCGCGTGCGGCGTGGCGCTGCTCTTCTACTCCTTTCGGCTGCAGAGCCGGAGGAAGCAGCTGCTGTGGCGCCACAGCCGACTGCCCCTCCGCTTCTCGCACACCGCGCCCGGCGGCAAGTGCCTCCTCCTCTAACGCCCTCCGCGTCGGTGCGAGGCGCCACTCTCTCTCAGCAGCTCTGCCTGTGAGCAGGTACCACCTCTTCTCTTCTCTTCTCTTCTCTTCTCTTCTCTTCTCTTCTCACCAGCTCTGCCTGTGAGCAGGTACCATCTCTTCCTCTCGCACACGTGGCTGAGCGGCCAGGACCAGGCGCTGCACCGTGGCCCAGCGGCGGCCGTGCAGCACGCGGGTCCCTCGACGCGCCTCCTGCCCCCTCTGCCACGCCAGGTGCACCTGATCAAGCGGCGGCTGAGCACGCTCGCACCCGGCATGGACATCTTCCTCGACGTCGACAACCTGCAGGAGTTCGGCAGCCTCGCCGACGAGGTCGCCGCGTCCGACGTGGTCCTCCTCTTCCTCTCGCGCGGCTACTTCGCCTCAAAGGCGTGATGCGAGTAGAGGAGGCTCATGTCTCGGCCCCCCTCGGCCCCTCTCGGCTCCTCTCGGCTCCTCTCGACCCTCCCTCTCTCCCAGGCGTGCGCCATCGAGTACGAGGCGGCCGTCCGACTCGGAAAGCCGCTCATACTCGTCCACGAGGCGAACGAGAACAAGGGCGCGGCCTGCCGCTGCAGCGTGCGAGGGCAACCGTGACACGACTGTCTGACCGCATGCCGTGGCTGCATTAGGCGGCCTGCCGCTGCAGCAGGCGAGGCGCGACTGCCCCGAGGCGATCCGCGACGAAATCTTTGGAACGAGCCGACCGGTCGTGTCGTGGCAGCGCTCCGACGCCTTCCAGCAGGTCGCGCTCAAGCGCATCGTCGCCGAGGCCCTCCTCGCGTCCGCCTGCGCTGCCCGGCCATCGATTCGTTGAGTAACAGTTTACAACCAATAGGTGCTCGTCGCGTGCGGCTGCGACCTCCCGCGCTCTGACTTGCGTGTCGCTCGCCGCAGCTCCGACGACGCCACAGCCACCCCCCTCGCGTCACTCCGCAGCACTCCGCATGCAGCACGCCGCAGCACGCCGCACGACGCAGCGGCCGAAGCCACAGCCGTTTCTCGCTCCGCCGCGTCCCCCTCCGCCGCTCCCTCCGCTGCCTCCGGCCCTGCTCGCATCGAGGAGGAGGAGGTGGAGAGCGGGGCGCTTGGAGGCCGTGGAGGCGTTGTGGCGATCGGCACGCTCCTCGGCGTCTCCTCTGCTGGCGCCGGCAGTGGCGCCGCCGCCTCGAGGGCGGACGCGGGGAGCGTGACAGCCAGTGGTATCGTTGATCATCGGTCATTAGGCGCCTCCTCTGCTGGCGCCGGGCGCCGCTCTCTCCCTGCACCCAAAGAGACGCGTCCCGTGCCCGGCAGTGGCGGCGGTGCCTCGAGGTGGACGAGGGGGCTGTGGCACAGCAGCCGCGCCTCGGGCGAGGAGGCCGCGGCGGGTGGCAGGCTCGGCGGAGGGAAGGGCGGGCGGGGCGGCATCTCAGGCATCTCGTTGGGGAGCGACGCGCTGTACTTGCACACGGAGGCGCGGCTGGCGGCGAGGCTGCAGGGCGGGCGGCTCGTCCTCGCTTTCTCGCGCCACAACCCGGGCGCGCGCGAGATCGCGCTCGAGGTCGCGTCGCTGGTGGCTGGCTGCAGCGCCGCGGAGTGGCCTCTGGCTGGACCTCTGGACGGGCGGGTGGTGCCGCTCTTGCTGCTCGACGCGACGACGTTTGGCGGAGACTGCGGCGAGGACCTCGCCGACGACGTGCGGCAGTGGTGCGCGCAGGTCGCCGCGTCGCGCGAGCCGCCGCAGGAGGAGTGCAGCGCCGTCGCCCTCCGCCCCTCCTTCTCCAGCTCGCTGGGCGGCTCGTCGCGCAGGAGCGGCGGCGGGCGCGCCGCGTCGCCGAAGCGGCGCAACTCGCTCTCGCGCCGCCCCTCCCTCTCGCGCTTGCCGAGCCTCTCCTGCGCCCGCGGGCCGGTCGAGCCGCCCCTCCTCCTCCACGCCGCCCTCGCCGAGGAGACTCGCGGCTGCCCCGTCAGGAGAGGCATCCCACGAGCTGCTCACCAGCTAAAAATCGCTGTTATAGGAGGGCGGCTGCCCCTTCGAGGAGGTGATGCAGCGCACGCCGACCGACCTCGTGCACGCGTCCCTCTTCACGCAGATCGCGCTGCCGTGGTTCGAGCAGCCCGACTTCAGAAAGGCGGCGCTGGTCGCGCTCTCGCAGGAGCTCGACCAGCGAAGCCTCGCCGCCTGAGCCGGGACAACGCGGCGGGCCGTTTACAGCTGCGGTGTCCGGCTCCTCAGACCGCATATTTGCATACTCGTACAGGTCTTGAGGCCGTATTAGCCTCAACATTTCTACGTGTGAGTGGGCTCTTGTATCTGAGCAAGTGCATGCGACAATAGCGCCACATGTACATGTCAGGCGTTGCGTACGGACGTGTGGAAGTCGGAATGTGTATAAAGTACGTATTTGTGGAGGCCGAAGCCGACGGATACCTTTTTTTTCGCACTTGGAGCACTCTCTTGGAGCGTCGTGCGGTCATCTTCATCAGCCTCACACGACACACACCCACAGCGCACACAGGGCCTCACGCTCAGCGCTCAGGGACGGGGAGGGAGCTATGAAGCGCGCATCCCCAGGACCAGAGGTCCCCGCGGCCGGATGATCGGGATCGACCTAGACCTAGTCTAGAGCAAAAGTTCGCAAGCAAGGGGCCAAAATATAAAGACACCGGTATCCGAGGCGTCGCTCGTGCTTAGCGGGTTCTTTTTCGCACGACACTGGGCGAGGGAGTCGCATAATACGAGCGTCATCTTGTAGTGAACAGGCCGAGTTTGCGGTTTGAGCGCCCAGCGCAGACCGACCGACCGCAGGGGGGTCCGGTCGACGGCCGCGGAAGACCGCAGACCGGAGGGGGGGTCCGGTCGGTCGGAGCACAGACCGAGGGGGCGGGGGGGGGGTCGGTCGGGTTGGCTCGAGGGTCACACACACCGCACACCGACGCTCGCCGCAGCTGTGAATAAATTACTATCTCGAAAACTAGAGACCAAGCGCCCTCTCCCCGTCTAATCACTCCTCGTCGTCCGAGTGGCTGAGCTCGAGACCGAGACGCTCAGAGCCGCTTGAGCGCGGCCAGAGCTTGTACAAAGCGACGGCAAGCAGGACCAGGCCTGCGACTGCGTAGATGCTCCACATACATGTGTGGGGTCGGGCTTGCTCGGGCCTCGGCGAAGAAGTCTCCTTGGCGCTTGGCTGCGTAACTAGTTTTCAGAGTGAAAACCGGCGATTTCGAAGCGCCCGTGGCGGTTCGCGAGAAGGAGGGAGACAGAGCGTTTGAGGGGGCTCACGGCAAGGACACCGACCGAGGGGGGGGTCGGTCGTCACGCAGACCACCGACCGGCGGGGGGGTCCCCACGAACTAGGGGGGGTAAAAGAAAGAAAACGGACAACCCAAGGGAGGGGTGGGAGGAACTAGGGGGGTAATAAAATAAATAAATAAAACGGACACACCAAACAAGGGGTGGGAGAAGGACAGGGTCCCCACCTGCGCGAGCAGGATCTTGTAAGGACGATCAGGGACACAGGGGAACGGGAGCGGGGAGCGCATCGCGACCCGGAGGGGGGCTGGCTGGGCAGGGTTCACCCACACGACAGGGTCCAGGGATTCCCCTCTCGTATAGGACAAAGTTGCACCCGGCGGCACGGGGGCAGGCGCGGGCCTCCTACTGGTTGCGCTCTCCTAGTTCTCCTGCTACTGACAAAAGGGACAGCGACAGGTTCGCAGGCGCCGGCAAAATTCTTTTCGCTCGCCCGCCCCAAGCGACCACTTTTGCCTGCAACCGCTCTGGTCTATGGCGAGCCCGCGCCTCCTCGCGCTCCTCGTCGTTGGCTATTACGGCTCCTCTACTCTCAACTCGGTTCTCACAAAGCAGATCCTGACCAGCTTCCCTCGGCCGCTCACGGTGACGCTCTGGCAGCAGCTTTTCTCTTCGCTCTACTCAGTCCTCCACTTCCGCGTCACCACTGGCCGATGGCTCGACCTGCAGCGCCACGCCAGGAGGGTCATGCCCGTCGCCGTGGCGCTCGTGATTGCTCTCGTTGCATACAGAGCAGCCTTGCTCCACGCGGCGGTGTCGTTCGCGCAGGTCGTGAAGACGCTGCAGCCGCTCTTCGCCGCGGGCGTCTGCGCCATCCTCCTCGGCGAGCGCACCCCGCCGATGCGGCTCGGGGCGCTGCTGCTCCTGGTCGCAGGCGTCGGCCTCGCCTCGGCAACCGAGGTCGCGCCTTCGTCTGGTTGGCCGGCGACATGTGCCCGTGCGCATGTCGCTGACCTGGCACACACCTGCCCGCAGGTGGACTTCCGGCTCGTCGGCTTCCTCCTCGCAGCGCTCTCGGCGCTGGCGCAGGCGGTGCATGCTGCACTCGCCAAGCAGTGCCTTGGCTCCAGCCGCGCCAGGCCTCTCTCGCCCGACAAGCGAGACAAGCCGCCCTCGGAGATGGAGCTCTTCGCCCTCGCCGCCGTCTACGCGACCGGCCTGCTAGCGCCCCTGTGGGCCGCGGTCGACCTGCCCTCTCGCGCGACACGGTACCGTCAGGACACGTCCGTGACACGTCCACGCCACGTCCAGGTCGATCTCCCGCGCGCCATGCGGCCCGACTACAGCACGGTGGGCCTGCTGCTGCTCAACGGCTGCTGCAACCTCGCCGACAAGCTGCTCTCCTTCTGGCTCCTCTGCTTGCTCGCCTCGCCCGTGTCTGCGGCGGTCGTGTCGGTCGTCAAACGGGTCATCATCGTCGCAGCGGCCGCGCTCTGGTCCGCCGCCTCCGCCGGCCTGGCCGCTTAGACGCCCTCCGGACTCACGCACCCAGCGTGAATAGGTTCGGCACCTCCATTAGCGCCTTGCACGCCTTTGGCGTCGCCACCGCGGCCGCCGGCGTGGGGCTTTATCAGCTGGCGCCCTCCGCCGCAAAGGCGCGCGATTCGGAGCTGGACGAGGAGGGGCAGCCGCTGGTGGCCTCGCCGGTCCTGCACTTGCAGGCGCCGCACTTGGGTCGCACCCCGCGGAGGCAGCAGCCGCTCCTCCCCGTGTGAGACAGAGAGAGGCCAAGACCACCCCGTAGTGTCAACGTGTTCTCAGAAAAAGTCAGCTAATCCCCTATAAAACGACGAGTCCCCGTCTCTCGCTCGCGTCTCGCTCTCGGGGTTTTGAAGAAGTTGCGTAAATTCTTATTTCTGAGCCCCGTGGGCGCTTGCGCGTAAAAGCCGTACGAGCCGGCATTCAGAGAGAGAGAGAGAGAGAAGTACGACATTCAAGGCCAACTTAAGTGACGGGAGAGTGACAGACGATGCAGAGGTAGTTATAAGCTGATCGTAAGGAGGCAGGTCACCTCGTTCCTGGAGGGAAGACGCCAAACTCGTCCAGAAAGAGAGGCGACCGGCGAGGGGGCACTCGGCGTGGCTGGCTGAGGCTCCCGGCAGCCGGTGCGGGTGGGCGCGGGCGGGCGGTCGGCGTCGACGGGTGCGCCGCCGCCGCCGCCGCCGCGATCGCGCCTCCAGCAAGGCACGAGGGCGCGCGCCTCGCCTCGAGCGGCGGCGTGGTGTTCCGCGAGGGAGCGGACGCCGCGAGGGGCGCCGGTCTGCGCCAGGGCGAGGCGACGTCCTCGTCGCCGTTGCCCTCCGCGCTGTGCGTGCACATGGGCCGCTCCGGCGGCGGGGCGGGGGAGCCGTCGTCCTCTGCCTCCCGCCCCTCCTCGCCCTGCCGCTCCTGTCCCCTCGCATGCAGCCCGCCCGCCGCGGCGCAGAGATCGGAGAGAGGGCGCGGTGGCGCACGGCGCGGCGGCAACGGTGGAGTCGACAACGGAGCGGGCGGCGGAGGCGGCGGAGCCAGGTGAACCCCCGCCTCCGCGTCCCTGAAGAGAGCGCGGCGGCGCGGCAAGCGCGGCTTCGGAAGAGGCGCGCCGGCGCTGTCGCTGCGCAGAGCGCGGTTCGGCCCCTCGCACGCTGCGAGGCGCTGCCGCGCCGCGTCGAGCGCCGCAGTCAGCTCGCCGGCTCTGAGCTGCGCGCGCCGCAGCAGCAGCGCAAACGCGAGGGCGAGCGCCGCGGCCGCACCGCCCGCACAGGACGCCTCGCGCCTCGCCCTCTCCGCGGCCTCGGCGGCTGCGGAGAGGCCTGCGGAGGCGCTAGCTGCGCGCTCGAGGAGGACCTGACAGGGCGGCGGGGCGGCGCAGCGGGCCGTGTGCGTGGCGGCGCAGGGGTCGCTGCAATCTATCGGGAGGCGCCTGCGAGCTCGCGAGCTGAGCCACCGCCGCCCTCTTGCAGGCTGCTCCCTCCTTTGCCGCCCTCGTGGCAGACACCTCAGCCTCCACGACAGCCCTCGCCGCGGTCGCCACCGCAGCATCCATCGCCGCCCTCGCTGCGGCCACCTCGGCCTCCATCGCCTCCCTCGCAACCGCTGCAGCCTCGGCCTCCCTCGCCTCCCTCACTGCAGCCTCGGCCTCCCTCGCCTCCCTCGCCACCGCCGCTGCCTCCGCCTCCGCCACTGCGCTCGCCGCTGCCGCTGCCGCTGCCTCCCGCCTCAGCCTGAGTGCCGCGGCTGCCGCGGCCTCCTTGGCTGCCTCTGCTGCGACTGCCGACATATTTCGGCAGCCACTTGCGGACGCGAGACGCTGCGAGATGCCTGCCGGCCGGTCACCCCACCTATAACGACCGCGACACGCATGTTCCCGCACCGAGAGTGGCTGGGGTTCTCAGTCCGGGCTCCGCAGCGGGCACGTGAACTTTTGGCGGGTAGTCACATGCGCCGGCCAGGAGAGTAGCTGTCGTGCCGGCCAGGAGACTATCGCGATCACAGCGATTACGTTCGAAAGCGTCATGAGCGGCAGCGCGGATTGTGGCAAGTCGATCGCATTGCCGAGAAAGCCGCTCATCGCAGAGTTTCAAGCGCCCGGGGGCCCACAAAGCAGGAACCTTTTTTCTTTTCTCGCGGGTGCGCTGAGGGCGAGACGATCGATCGAGGGGTCCCGTACCAACCATGGTCCATGCGGAATCGACCCTATCCAGTGCTCGAGTGCTCAAGAAAGAAAAGGAGAGACAGCTGACAGACAGGTGGAAAAGCTGCGAAGGCCATGTGCCATGATCGGCAGCCTCAAGGTCGTAGGTCGATTTCGATAGCTCTTTCACGTCGGATCCCCCTCTTGTCTCCGATATGTCGCGCCTGCGCGCTCGGCGTGTATGTATGTAATCCATATCACCCCCTGCTCCACGACTGGGGCTTTAGGCGGCCGGCGAGGGTGGGGCGCTAGGCAGCGGTTCGCTTACGGGGGAGCTGCGGGGGAGTCGGGTGTGTTATCAGCGTAGCTAGAAGCCCCATCACCGATGTCGTCGAGTGGGATGGTTGTACCTCCTCCGTTAATAACCACGTCGCCGCTCACGGCGCTGATCTCCCCGTCGTGCGTCGTCTGCGTCCGTTGGGATAGATCTTGTCACTCCGGCGCGCCGCAATCCCTCGCGCCGCTCCTGCCGAGGTCGGCTTGCTTATCGACGTAGTCGTTCCACTTATGACCACTGTGCCCCTTGACGTGTCTCCATGTCACTTCGTGCCTCGACGCCAAGTGCCGCCACGCTGCTCGAAGATAGCTCGCTAGTTGTGCGTTCCCCCCCGGGGAGGTTCTCCCCGTCGCACACGCCATCGCGTACTCGCTGTCCGTTCGGACCACCCCTCGTGAGCCTGCTGGTCGTGGTGCTGTGTAGAGTAGTGAGCGAAAGAGCTTCCGCCAATGCTGACAGCTCCGCCGTGTTATTAGTGTGTTTCCGCGCCCCCACGAAAGCGGCGTGTACGGGGCTAGTCACGACGGGTAGGAACCTATGGCTGGCACCTGTCGAGCCACGCGCTCACGTTGGAGAGGAGGTCGGCGATCGAGGTGCCACTCTGGACGTCGAGCACGTTCTACGTTGTGTGCCTCAGCCTGGCCAGATCCGAGTTCCGAGGGCCCGTATTGCGCCGCGGTCGGGACGCGCCCGCGGTCGATCCGCTTGCCGTCCCGCTGCTGCAGCGAGACGATTGAGCCCTCCTCGATGCGCATCGGCGGCACCGTGTGGTTCGCCGCCAGCCCAGAGAGCGGGAGCCGCTGGAGCGGGACTCTGCCAGCGGCGCGCCGCAGCGCCCGCTTGTCGGCGTCGTCGAGGTTCTCGTCATCGGCGATCGCAGCGCGCGCCGCCTTGGCCACGGCAACATCGTTCTGCTGCGGCCCGCTCGGCCGTGTCTGCGTGTTGCAGCATCGCTCCGCCAGCTCGAGCCAGCGCGACGTCTGGAGCTGCTTTTGGCGAGATGGCAGCGCCTGCTCAGCGACGTTGGGAGGGAGGCGCGAGCGCAACTGGTTGAGACGCCGCTTCATCGCGGTCTCGCTCCGTGGACCCGAGACCGACATGATCATCGCCGACTTGAGCGGAGCAGTGGGGACCTCCAGCGAGATCCAGAAGGCGTGGAGCAGCTGCCGGTCCTCTTGCTCCGTCCACGGCTCGGCGCTGCCCCTCCTGCTCCGGTCGCATGTTGAGAGGTAGTGGTTGATAGCAGTCGAGACATCGTCGTCTGTATCGGTCGGCGAGTCGTCGACACCATCTCCACGCTCCTCCATGCGCGCCTTCAGCGCCGCTGGGCGTTTGCTCTCGTCGGGGTCCGTGCACTCCATCACCGCAGTTCGCACGCGCTCAGGGCTGAGCTGCTCGGCGGTGACATTGCAGATGGCCTCGACGAGCTGAGGCGGCATGCGCTCTCGCGAGCCCCTGCAGTGCAGCCTCCGGACTCATTTCCACGGATGAGCTGCACGCGTCCGACATTACGACGTCGGGGGCGGCGTTGGGGGTCGGCCGGTGGCGTCAGAATGTGGTTCGCATTCACCGCAGCCGCCGTGACCGTTGTCGGGAGTCAGGGCAGCGGGGTCATGACTGCACGATCCGCGTGACCCCGCACATCCGCACCTGTTCGCCCACTCTGGAGGGCGCAGTGGCGTCGGAGTTGCCGGCATCCATCAGCGGGCCACAGCAGGTAACATCTAGGGGTCCCTGGTCGTTTCCGACACTAGGGGGTTTGCGAAAGGACAAGACGAATTTTTAAAGAATTTGGTTAACCCTCTTTTTCTATTTTTTCTTTCTTTACGCACGGCACCAACTCCGTATCGCCGCCGAGAGAGACCGCGCGGCGCGCGGCCGCGGCCAGGGGGCCACCGGGGTGAGATTAGTATTAGGAGTGGGGCAGACGCGACACCCGACCGAGCAGTCGACCCGAGCAGGGCGAGCATCGAGTAGGCTGCACCACAGTCGTCCTCAGCTATGCTTCAAATCCCTGGTCCCAGGGAATTAGAAAGTAGACACAGCGCTGATCGCGCTTTAGAGAGAGACACCACACATGCTGGACGCGACATATGCTAGACCACACCATTCCACATGGGGACAGACCACAAACCGGGCCGAAGAAGCTTGACTAGAAGCTAAAGTCATCAAACGCCACAGACGATTGGCAGCCGATTGGCAGCCGCTGCCGCTGCCAGCGCCCTCTAGTAGGCGTCGTCCGCGGAGATGCCCGACTGAAGAGCGGGCGCGTCCGAGCAGATCCAATACCTATTGGGACACTGTGGTTGGACGGGTAGCCGGCACTTTGGCGCGCAAGCGTGAATTCCGCTCGCCCTGTAGGGAGGTTCATCCAGTCTGGCGCGATGAAGCACCTGAAGACCGAGGCGGACGTCGTGGAGAGGGGTAGGAGGCGGCGAGGTTTGCGGCGGAGAGGAGGGAAGTCTCACGTCATCGCGTCGGGAAGGTCCTCCGACGGCCCGCTGGAGCAAACCCACCAATCGGATTCATCCGTGCCAGAGTCAAACGTTTTACTGATCGGCGCGTGCTCAGCCGCTCGCAATCGGTAGCAGACAGAGTCCCGCTGGGCCTCGAGCTGCGCTGAAAACGTCGCGCGTCTCTTCACAGCACCCGCTGCGCCCTGCAGCACGACTGAAGCGATCGCACACTCGTTGAGCACAGCTGCGGCCATGGATGCGCCAGTTCGTGTGCACACGTGAGTCGGAAACTCTAATTGGCGATTCGCACCAATTGGTCCTTCACAGATTTCTAGATTCTAAGAACCAACACCCTTGTTTCCTCCCATCCCAAGGCGGCGTGCCGTCCTCCCCTCCCCCCCTGTCAGTTTTCTCTTTCTTTAGAAGAAAATATCGTCCATGAGAGGTTGAGTGAGGTGCGAGCGGGCTCTCTCTGGCTGGAGGCCCTGGGGAGGAGACTACGTACGTACCCGCAGGCCTAGAAGGCCCGCGCGCAGGGGGGTGGGACATTACATTGAGACCGCGGTGTCATGATCTTCTTGTTGTTGAGAAAATACGTGCGGCGCTGCGCGCTGGTTTATGAATGAGAGGATGAGCCCTGGAGGCCCTGTGGATGGGGGGGGGGACTCTTTCGCACCCGCACATCGACCTTGCGTATTTATTTGAGAAGAAAATACCTCCTGTCGGCCTGTGCGTTCAAACACACGTCGTTCTTCACGCAAAAACACAACCCCGGGGTAACCAACCCGCGGCGCAGAGGGCGCGGCTGAAGCCACAAGCCGGTTCGAGCGCTCACGCGGCCGCGCAAACGAAAAGCCGCGTTGTGTTGTCGCGTTCGTTGCTTCGTTGGCGCCGGCGGTGCTCTTCACACGCAAAGACACACGTGTCGTGTGTCGTTCACATCCTCGGATCCAATATCACGGCACACCACACCGGACAGTAGTCGCGAAGAGGGACAAATATCACCATGCAGGGATTATCAACTCTACTCAGTGACAGTGTTCACGAAGCCGCTCTAGACACCTCTTAGGGGTCCACACCGACCCGCACCGTTTTGCGCGCGCGCGTTGTGTGCGGGGGGCACAATATGGGCAGGGCTCTTTAATTTTGCTGTCTGGGAGCTATATTTGATTATTGATATAGAAACGAGAAGAAATCCAGCGATGGCACATTGTTCACATTGTTCACATAGTTCAGGATCAACCGAGATCCAACTGCCCGGACTAGAGGGTTTAGCGGACGACGCTCTGGAGCCGCTAGAAGTGGAAGGTCCGCGGGCCCCGACGCTGGCCGCCTCCGCCTCGACCGCCCTTGCGCTGAAACTGCTGCTGGCCCTGCGGGCCGGCGTTGAAGCGCACGTTCCCGCCTCGCCGCTGCGCCTCCTGCTGCGCCGACTGCCGCTGCGCCCACTTTGGGTCGTCGACGTTCTCGCCGCGGTCGTAGGCGGCGCGGGTGTCGGGGTCGGAGAGCACCTCGTACGCGCGCGCGATGAGCCTACGGCACGGCACGGCACCCGCTCCGCCGCCTTGCCAGGGGCTCCCCCCCCCCCCCCGGGGGCGAGGCGCGCTTGAAGTTGCGCTCTGCCTTCTCGAGCCGCGCCTCCTGCCCCTCCGCCCGGTTCTTGTCCGGGTGCCACCGCTTGGCCGCCGCGTGGTACGCCTGTGCACGGCGAGGGGTGTGACCGCGCGCACCCGCTGGGCCGCGGAGCGACCGCCGCGCGGAACGCCTTTTTGATCTCGCGCTTGCTCGCCCCTCTCTTGACCGAGAGGATCGCGTAGTAGTCGCGCACCTTTTGCTTCGGCGCCTGCTGCTGCTGCGGGAAGCGGCCCCCGCCCCGCCCCCGCTGCCCCCGAGCCTGCTGCTGCTGCTGATGCCACTGCTGCTGCTGCTGCTGCTTCCGCTCACGCCGCTGCTGCTGCTGCGACTGCTGCTGCTGCTGCTGCGGCGCCTCCTCCGGCAGCCGCACAAACGAGAGCACCTCCGGCAGCTCCACGCCCGCGGTGGCTGTCGTGAGGCGCGGCAGCGGCTTCCTGGGCGCGAGGGCGGCGGGAGGGAGGCGTCGGGAGAGGGATGCTCGACGAGCGGATGAGGCGCTCCCTCGATGGCATCGCACTCCTGCTCAGCTCGGCCCGAGAGATCTTGGCGGACCAAAACGAGACTCGGAACACCGACCCCGCAGAGAGCGGCGTCGCGCCGCCGCCGCCGCCGACCTCGACCACGAAGGCGGCGCACGGGTGCGTGGCTGCCTCCGAGTCGCACAAACTCATCGCCTGCCTACACTCTCAATCCGAAGCGGCGCTCGGCGGATGGCGCGCCGTGGCTGCCTCCTCCCGCGCGCTCGCGGCTCGCTGGATGGTCATCGGCTCGCGCCTACACGCGCCCAGCGCCCGGGTGGTGAGGGGCGCACCGCGGCGGGCAGCGCCGGGTCCGCCTTCGCACATTGGCTGGCGCCCGCCCAGCCGCGGGCTCGGGTGGGGCAGGAAGCGGCTCTTGAGAGGGCTGCCCGCGAGGCGGAGGTAGCGCGTCTGCGCGTCTCGCACGTAGAGCGGCCCGCTGCTGGCCGTGCCGGGAGGCACCTCCGAGGACGAGTACGAGGAGATGTGCTGCGGGCCTGCAGGAGGCTCCCAGGTCGGGACAGTGCGAGGAGGAGTCGCTGCGCGAGGCGGTGTGCAGCGCGCCCGCAGCAGTCGAGCCCACGGTCGTCGTCGTCGTCGTCGTGCCGACCGCCTTGCACGCGGCGGTCGCGGCGCATTCGACCAGCGCCTCCTCAACCTTCTTCCGGCTCTTGGACAGCAGCGAAGTCGCCGCGGGACGGCCCCGCTGCCGCCCAAACGAGACAAACATCCGAACCTCTGCACGGCCACGCGCCTCGGCCGCCTCGCGCTCCTGCTTCACCGCGTCGCCGCGCCGCGCCTGCGCCTCAGCCTGCGCAAAGTACGCGCCGGCCTCCTCCCACTTCCCGTCGAAGAACTTGGCCTCTCCGAGCGCCATTAGCATCCCCACTGACGCCCTCTTGCCACCGCGCACCGCCCCTCCCGCGGCTTCGCAAGCGCCGATCGCAACCTGCTCCTTGCGCAGGCGCGCCGCCGAGAGGCAGAGCCCCTCCTGCAGCTCCAGCCGTTTGTCCGGATGCTTTTCCCAGTGCACTGCGTCCGGTGGGCCGAGCGACTTTGACAGAGACGAGTACGCCTCAAAAGCCTTGTTGTGCAGGCCCTTTTTGAGCGCCCGTCGCGCGCTCTCCCAGAGCTGCTCCTGCTCCTCCGCCGGAGGTTGCTCCGCGCAGCGGGTGGAAGCGAGTAGGAGGAGGAGGGCTCTCGTCAGCAAGAACGCCCTCCGCCGCGCCAACGACGCCATCTTTGCTTTTTCGGCTCGCCATTTTCTTTCTTTTCCCTCCGCGGCTTGCCTTCTTGTAAGGGCTGGAATTCGTCATCGAATAAACGATTTCGGGCCCGTGAGCTGTGTGGCGTGTTCGTGTGGCGTGAGGGTTGAGCCGAGTTTGTGTTTGAGGCTGGACGCTGGTTTGCATTGGGGCCAGAAGCGCAGGCCTTTTGGGACCTAGAGAACACACACACCCTTTCCCTTTTCACCCAGAACGTACGCAACTACATCCGGTACCTGCAACTACATATCGTACAAGCACCTGCGGGACTGGTCTCTGCCGCTGTCACCCGCAAGCTACGCCGTGGCCTTTCCGAGGGCGGTGCAACGGGGTCATCCGCTGCCACATGTTTGCAGTGGGATCGTACCCCTCGACCGAATCGAGGACGGCGCCAGTTTTGTCCTCGCCGCCCACAGCGTACAGCTTGCCACCGAACACAGCCATGCCGTGCCCGTCCCGGGCGATCGACATCGGCGCCACCGCCTCCCATGTATTTGTGGCCGGGTCGTAGCGCTCCACCGAGCTTAGATCTTCGTCCTCGGGGCCACCGAACCCACCCACCGCGTACAGCTTGCCGCGGAGCACCGCAACGGCGAGCTCGCTCCGTTGCGATGCCATCGGCGCCACCTCCTCCCATGCATCGACCGCCGGGTCGTACCGCTCGACCGAGCGTAGGTAATCGCCGTCATCGCGCTGACCACCCAACGCGTACAGCTTGCCGTCCAGCACAGTAACGCCCAGACGAGACCGCGCCGTTGTCATCGGCGCCACCGCCTCCCACGCATTCGCAGCCAGATCGTACCGCTCGACCGACCCAAGCGTCTCGCCGCCACTCCCCTCACCACACACGGCATACAGCTTGCCATCAAGTACCGCCGCGCCGTGAAAGCTCCGCGCCTCCATCATCGGCGCCATCGCCTCCCACCCCATCGCCACCGGATTGTACCTCTCCACCGACTCAAGGACCGAGGCGTGGCCGCCTGCCGGCCCGCCGCTGCCGTACCCGCCCACCGCGTACAACTTGCCGTCGACCGTCACCGCGACGGTGCTGGCCCGCCCTGTCGCCATTGCCGGCAACTTCTCCCACGCACCGCCCAGTCCAAAGACTTCTGCGCTGCAAAGGCGAGACTTCCCATCCCTGCCGCCCCTGCCGCCCACCACGTACAACTTCATCATGCCAGAGCGCGTCCGCGGTGGTTTGGAGTTCATGTAAGATCCAGGTGCCTCCAGGAGCATCCGGTTTCCCGCCCGCGTATCGAGCAGCGGCTCGGCCTTGACCTCACGGAGCAAAGCCGGCGGCAGCAACGCAAACCGCACCCTCGCCAGCAGCTCCGCCACCTCCGTCTCGCTGAGCGGGGGATCGCGCGCTTTCACCCACGCCACGCCGGCGCGGTACACCTCCTCCTCGCTCGCGTGGAGCCCATCGTCCTCCAGCAGCGAGCGAACGATCCACGCTGGCGCCGACGCCCATGCCTCGTCGCTCGCGACCTCGCCAAAGTTTACTCTCGCCACCCAGGCTGACGCCTCTGCGAGCCGCGGCAGCCGCCCGATCGCCTCTGCAAGCTGCCAGACGGCGAGGGCGTTTTTTGCGGAGAGGCGCGCCTCGTACGCCTCCGACGCTGAGACCAGTAGCTCGTCCATCTGCAAGTACGATGCGCCCTCAACCAACTCGGAAAGCGCCGCCTCATCCGCCACCTCCGCCTCGCCGGTGTACGCAAACTCGAGGCAGGCGTGGAGGCAAGCGGGAGAGAGGGCAGAGAGATCGTGCGAACCGCTTCCCGACCACGTGCCCGAGAAGAGCGCCTTAAAGTATTGGCTCACTCCGACCAGGATGATTCTGTGTGCCCGCACGGCTGGCCCGTAGGCTGGCTGAAGCTCGACGTCGCAGAGGTCGCCGTCACGGAACTTTTGAATGACCTCCGGGCGCTGCGGAAGGAGCCCGGCTCCGACGTGCACGGGTCTGTCACGCGTCGACGCGGAGGAGTCGGCGGCCGACGATCGCGCACGCTTGCGAGACATGTGCATTGACATGCAATGAAAAAGGCCGGGGTATGTCCGGGGGACCCACACCTTCCCCTTATCGAACCCCAACTCATTACGAGCTCCCAAAGGAGGAAAGGGTTCCGCTAAGGAAAGGTGCTCCCGTCTCCTGGAGCGCTGGAGGTTGACCCTTATCTACCCTTGAGAGCCCTCCTAAAAATCTCTCTCACACATCTCTCTCTCACACACATCTCTCTCACACATTACACCCTCCTGAGGGTGAAAAAGAAAACACGCTAGCGACTCGTGGAGATAGATAGATAGATAGATATTATATATAGAGAGAGAGAAGGTCTGCTGGAAGTGAAAAAACACTCCCGCCGCCTCGCCGCTACCTCGCCCGCTCGCGCCCGACTTTCTACCTCCTCGTGATCCAACCCGCCACCCCCCTCGCCCCTCACCCTCCCGCCGCCTCGCCGCTACCTCGCCCGCTCTGAGGGAGGGTGTAGAGTATGTAGAGTGTAGAGCGCTGTAGAGATGTAGAGATGTAGAGCGCTCTGGAGCGCTGTGTAGAGCTGTAGAGCTCTACATCCGGCGCGTGTGACGATGTGAGTCCGATGTAGAGCGATGTAGAGCGCGATTTTGCTGTAGAGTTTGTTGTAGAGGCTCTACAGCCAAACCGCTGGGAAGGCAGTGACTCAAAGAGGTCGAGCCGCGCTAGTGGGGTGTCTCCGAGCTTACTGGAGCTCTGATGGACGGCCCTGACTATCCCTGACACACAGATAGTCACTCTGACGGCACACAACACCCTATAACTGCGTCATGACCAGCCTGCCATGCGTCGCCGGTGCCGCATTCGTCGCAGTGCTTCTTTAGCAGGCGGTGGACTGTCGGCTGCGAGGACGGTCGCATTTGCGCGAAGCGAGGCGAGCATTGCTGCGCGTTGCATGCCCATGCGCCATGCCTCGCGCCAGCGCGTGCGGGAGCTCCTGGCTGAGCGTTGAGTCCAAGCGAGTTGCGCTGGCCACGATCGCTACGCCGAGCCGAGCTGACGCGCCGAGGGCGAGGCGCCGGCCAGTCGCAGCCGTGCGAGGCATGTCACAGCAGCAGAGGCACCTGCCACCCATTGGGCGGGCACGCAGACAGAAGCCAGAAGGCCAGGGCAGCACTGGCAAGTGCAACGCGCCTCATGTCGGAGAGCGACCGTGCCTCGTTCGCCGCTTATGGTGTAGAGTTTGTTGTAGAGATTTCACGTTGTAGAGCGCCTCTACATCGCTCTACATCGGACTCACATCGTCACGCGCCGGATGTAGAGCTCTACAGCCCAGTCTACAGCGCTCTCCAGCTCTACAGCTCTCCAGCGCTCTACACTCTACATCCTCTACACCCTCCCTCAGCGCCCGCTCGCGCCCGACTTTCTACCTCCTCGTGATCCAACCCGCCACCCCCCTCGCCTCGTCAGCTCACCCTCCCGCCGCCTCGCCGATACCTCGCCCGCTCGCGCCCGACTTTCTACCTCCTCGTGATCCACCCCGCCACGTCACCCTCCCGCCGCCCCGCTGCTCGCTTGCCCGCTCTGCCCAGCCGACCGACGCCCCGCCATCCGTTGCCGTTATCCTGCCGCCGCTCCTTACTGTCCGCCGTGCCGTCGTTCTTTACCATACCGCGCCGCCTTTCCATACTTCCTGCTTCGACGGGGTTTGTGTTGAGGAGTGACTCGTGCCGCCGTGTGCCCCGTAGCGGCCTCGCTGGGCCAGAAAGTCGGCCCTGAGTGCCAGCAGCAGCCTCGGCGGCTCGGGTGGGTGCTAGTATGAGCCCGCTGAGGCGTAGTGCTCTTGCAGAGGCGGTTAGTGCGGGGGGCCACCTTCCCCTTATCGAACCCCAACTCACTACGAGCTCCCAAAGGAGGGCAAAGGGTTCTCTAGGCCCCCTAAGGAAAGGTGCGACGGGCCGACGGCCCCCCGTCTCCTGGAGCGCTGGAGGTTGACCCTTATCTACCCTTGATCGCCCTCCTACACACATCTCTCTCTCACACACACATCACACCCTCCTGAGGGTGAAAAAGAAAACACGCAGGCGACTCGTGGAGAGAGAGAGAGAGAGAGAGAGAGAGAGAGAGAGAGAGAGAGAGAGAGAGAGAGAGAGAGAGAGAGAGAGAGAGAGAGAGATTGAGAGAGAAGGTCTGCTGGAAGAAGTAAAAAAACAAACTAACTGGTGCGGCGTGGCGTGTGCGTGTGTGCGACTGCAACGAAGGACCGCTCGCAAGGGACCATTGGGTTTGTATTATCTGATTGATTGATTGATTCTCTACAACGAGAGAGAGCCTAGAGAACATAACCCCCTCTCTCTTTTCTCCCAGTAAGCTATAAGTACGTACAACGAAGGCGCTCTCAAAAAAACAAACTCCTCGCGGACTCGTGGCGTGCAGCCCCAGGTCCTGCTCGCTTCCTCTGTCTAGCTCTCTCGCCACTCCACCGCCCGCCCACGCGGCGAACCCCCCACGGTCGCCCACCCCCGCGTCCCGCCCCCGCCTCTCGTGCAGACAGCCATGGCCCCCAAGGAGGCTGCCGCGCCCGCGGAGAACACGGCGCTCAAGCTCGGCCTCCAGGCAAAGGAGGGCGAGATTGTCATGGCGGTGTGCCACATCTACGCGTCGTTCAACGACACGTTCGTGCACGTGACTGACCCCTCGGGCCGCGAGACCATCTCCAAGGTCACCGGCGGCATGAAGGTCAAGGCGGACCGCGACGAGGCGTCGCCGTACGCTGCTATGCTTGCCGCGCAGGACGTCGCCGCGAAGTGCAAGGAGCTCGGCATCGGCGGCCTGCACATCAAGATGCGGGCGACCGGCGGCAACCGCACCAAGACGCCCGGCCCGGGCGCCCAGTCTGCCCTCCGTGCCCTCGCGCGCGCTGGCATCAAGATTGGCCGCATCGAGGACGTGACGCCGATCCCCTCCGACTCGACGCGTCGCGCGTCGGGCCGCCGTGGCCGCCGCTTGTAGAGAGGCACCCCGCCTGCTGCGTGGTGTGCGAAGATTGCACCGGAGGCCCTCCGGTGCCCGACCGCACTGCCACCGGGGCTCGGCGACTGGCGGCCTTGCCGCCGGAACCCCAGCCCCCGACCCGCTGGCGCACGTTAGCCGCCCCCCCCCCCCATTCCGTGTGTGCCGACGGGGGCTAGCTAGCGCCAGAGAGCTTGTACGACAGACATGTTTACCGTCTTCCCCGAGACCAAAAGGGCCGGGCCCCAGCGCGCAGCTTGGGCCCGTCGGGGCGCGGGACCCAACACCGCGCGCGGCCCGAGAAAACGGGGCCTGCTCCTGCGCTCCTGCGCGCCGCTGATCCTAGCGCTGATCACGCATAAACACTTGCATGGTGTATCACTGACACTGTTCATGCTTCATCACACGCGCTCGGAGATTACCCCCCCCCCTCCCCTCCCATCCACACACACGCACACACCTCTGATTCGCCTCACCCGCCGCTCTCGCTTGGCGCCTCGGACGCCTCAGCGCGCGCGCGCGCCTTGTCGGCCGCCCTCCTCTGCTTGCTTGCCCTCACTGCGTCGCGGATGCGCTGCGCCTGGTCCTCGCTGATGCCGTCGAGGGGCGCGACTGACCGCTCTGCCTCTCGCTCTGGCGCTGGCGCCGGCGGTGCGGCCTCGGCGGCGGCGCGCTGGGCGTCGGAGGCGGTCTCGACTCGCAAGTCGGAGACGGGCTTGCCGCGCTGCTGCATCGCCTCCTTGAGGTTGCGAAAGTCGTCCTCGATCCAGTTGAGGTTGTCGGCGACGAGGTGGTTGACGCCGCAGCCGGGGCAGGTCACAATCACAGTGCCCTCGCCGTACGCGAGCCGCGAGATCTGGTGTGTGTTCCGAGTGTCGCACTTGTTACAAGTGAACTGGAGCTCGAAGCGGTCCGTCTTAGCCTTGGGCTTCTTCTGTGGCCGTGACGGCGGTGCCGGCGGCGACTCACCAAACCCACGCGCAAGCAGCACCGCAGCGTGAGCCCGCGGCGCGGCCGCAGGAGCGGGCAGGAGCGGGCGGAGCGCAAACGCGCACCCCTGAGCGAGGAAGAAGAGCAGCATGTGCGTACCGTCCACCGGCGACCTGGTTTCTTTCGGAGGCCGCATTATTTCTTTTCTCTTCACAACCCTCACTGCTGGCGGTCTGCCCAAGGCCCACTTGCAGGACCGTAGAGATAGCTGCACGCCTCCTCCACTATTCAAACCGAATCCTCGCCCTACGCTCGCTCTGGCATGTGTGTGGCACGCGGCCACTCGCTGTCGCCCGCTCTCGTCACCCTGCTACGTCAGTCTGCTGCAGAGGCAGATGCGCGGCACGTCCCCGCTGATGAAAGCTGTGCACCTCTGCAGGCGCGCCGTCTTCGGATGGCGGCGCCTTCGTCAGCAGCACCGCGTCGTGAGCACTAGTCGCCCGCGCCCTCCTCCCGCGCGCTGTTGCTCTCCTCACGCCCGCTCTCTGCGACGTTGCAGCTCAGCTGGGGTCGGCGGCCGGCTCTTATGACCAGATGCCGGCCAACTCGCTGCTGTGCGCGTACCTGGAGGAGGACGCGCGGCGTAATTTTGTGGACTCGGCGGCGGAGGTGAAGGTGCGGCGCAACGAGGTGATCATGCGTCAGGGTGCGCTGCGCTCCCGCCGCCCGCCCGCTGGCAACGCGGCTCCGCGAGGCTGAGGGCACGCGCGGGTGTGTCAGGGGACAAGGGCAACAACTTCTACCTGATCAAGGCGGGCACCTGCGAGGTGCTGATTGCTGAGGCGGACGGCACCTCGTCCAGGCGGCAGCTCGGGCCAGGCGCGGCTGGGCCGCGAGCCTCCCCCCGTGTGCCGGAGCCCCTGACGCTTCCCGCGGGCATTCGCGTAGGGTCCTCTTGCGGCGAGCTGGCGCTGATTACGGGCAACCCTCGCTGCGCGACGGTGACGGCCACTTCGGACGAGCTGGTCCTCCTCATGGTCAACCGCAGGGCCTTCATGGCTGCCCTCGGCGAGCAGGTCAGCTGCTCCGCCGGCAGCTCCAGCAGCAGCTCCAGCAGCAGCTCCAGCAGCAGCGAATGGCAGTCTGTGAGCAGCCGCCGCTGCGAGAGGGGCTTGCGCTGCCCGCTCCGCTCTGCACGCACGCGCGCGTGCGCGCGCATGCCACCAGTACCCCTCCCCTGACGGGCCGCACGCCCCTCGAGTGTTCTGCGCGCACTGCGCGTTGACCGCCCGCCACCCCCGGAGGCCCCCGCCGGCTCCTCCGGGGGTGGCGAGAGACGACGCGCACCGCCCACCGCCCACCCGGGCGCTTGTCCCACCTCGCTGCTTGCTCCGTTGGCGAGCAGGTCAAGAAGAAGCGCACCACGTGGATGCCCTTCCTCGAGTCCGTCTCCATCTTCGCGCCGCCCTCCACCACCACCGACTACGAGCGAGGCCTGCTCGCAGACGCGCTGCAGGCGCGCGCCGCGGAGGCCGGCCGGCCGCTCCATCACGCACGCCGCACACGCGCGCACGCCGCCCTGGTCGCAACCCCCCCCCCCCCCCCCCTCCCCTCCCATCCGTCGTCGCCTCTCAGGTGCTCGAGGCGAACACGCGCAAGGCTGCGATGTACGAAGCCTTCCTCGGCAAGGTCCAGTTCCTCGAGCCGCTGACGCGCGAGCAGCGCAGCCGGATGGTGGACGTGCTCGAGGAGGTCGAGTACGCGCCGCGGCAGCCCATCATCCGCGAGGGCGAGGAGGGGACCCACTTTTACATCCTGCTCGAGGGGGAGGTGTCCATCACCAAGTCGGGGCAGGACAGCGAGCTCGCGCGCCGCGGCGTCGGCGACTACTTTGGCGAGCTGTCGCTCAAGACGGGCGCGCCGACGATCGCGACCGTCTCGGCCGCCGACGCGCGCTGCAAGCTCGTGCGCATGGACCGCGGCTGCTTCCTGCGCCTGCTCGGGCCACTCGACTCGCTGCTCGCGCTGCGAAAGTACACCGCCACGGGGCAGGAGGTGTCCGAGGCGGTCTCCGCGATGGACCGGCTCTCGCTCGCGCCGGCGGAGGCGATCCCCGGCTTCTCCTTCCAGCGCGGGCCGCCCGGCCTCTCGCTCGACCAGTTCACGGTCACGCGCAGCACCCTCGGCGAGGGGGCGTTCGGCAAGGTGCGGCGCGCGCGCGACAAGAAGACGGGCGCGGTGTGGGCGCTCAAGCAGATGTGCAAAGCGGACATCGTGTCGATGGGGCAGGCGGGGCGAGCCCGCGCCGAGAGACGCGCCCCGCGCCGAGACGCGCCCGCCGGGACGCGCGCCGCGCGCCCCCCTCCCCCCCCTCTCCTGACGGCCCGCTCGCCCCGCCCAGGTGGAGCACATCATCCAGGAGACGCAGGTGCTGTCGCAGCTGCTGCACCCCTTCATCACAAACAAGTACGTCTCCATGACCACGCCGACCAACCTCATCCTGCTGCTCGAGTTTTGCCCCGGCGGCGACATGTTCGACCAGCTCTACCGGCACAAGAAGTTCTCGCTGCGCGACGGGCAGATCTACATCATGCAGGTGCTGCTCCCCATCGAGTACATGCACAGGCAGGGCATCGTCCACCGCGACCTCAAGCTCGAAAACATCCTCATCGCCGCCGACGGCGCGCTCGCGAGCTCGCCCGCCGCCGGGGCCGCCCACAGGGCACGCCCGGGAGACGCCCGTGCCGCCCTGCTCCCCCCGCAGGCGCGCTCAAGCTGACCGACTTTGGGTTTGCAAAGTATATCCAGCACCGCTCGTACACGCTGTGCGGCACGCCAGAGTGTGTCGCGCCGCCGAGCCCCGCCCGACGACGATCGGCGCGCCCGCCAGCACCGGCGCGGCGCGGCCCGTAGGTACCTCGCCCCCGAGCTGATCCTCGAGCGCGGGCACGGCAAGGCGGTCGACTATTGGGCGCTCGGCATCCTCCTCTTCGAGATGCTCAACGGCCACTCGCCCTTCGAGGCCGAGGACCACCTCGCCACGTGCCAGACACCAGCCTCGCCGCAGCGGCCGCCCGGGGCGCGCCCACGTCACGGCGTGCGGCGTGCGCCGTAGGTACCAGAAGATCCTCGATGGCACCGTCAACTACCCCGCCGACATGAATGCCGACGCGATGGACCTCGTGTCCAAGCTGCTGCAAAAGGACATCTCGCGCCGCTTTGGCAACATGGTCAACGGCACCAAGGACATCAAGGACCACCCGTTCTACAGCGACATCAACTGGGACCAGCCGTACGGCTACCGCGGCTCCATCAAGCCGTCCACCTTCGAGCCGTCCAAGCACGAGTGGCTGCCCGCGCCCGACGTGGTGGTCGAGTCCAAGCCGGTCAAGCCGGCAGACCAAGCGCAGTTTGCCAGCTTCTAGGGGTCCTGCCGCTTCGGCAGCAGGTCGGCGGGTGGCGCCGCGCCTGACCGTATGTCCCTCGAGTCTTGGAGGCGCGGGGGCTATCGGTGCGAGTATACTCTCCGCCTCGCGCGGCTCTATCTGTCCCTCGATCTCTCTCACGTCCCGCGCAGCGCCGTCGCGCGTGCACACTGTGTCTTATGTCGTGGGGTCTGGGCGCCTCTTTTTACTGTCGGCGTCAAGAGAGCAAAACTGAAACTGAAACTGTCCGCGCGCCCGGCGGCGGCGCCGGCGGCCGGGTGATGCCCGCGACGTGTCGCGATCCGACCTGCGCGCTGCGCCGGCCCCTCTCTCTCACCGCACCCGCACTAACCACTAATAATATGCCGACCCCCGGGGTTTATCGGCTAGGTTTTTCAATAAACACATTCCCCTCATATCGCTATTCTCTCTCTCTCTCTCTCTCTCTCTCTCTGTGTGTGTGTGTGTGTGTGTGTGTGTGTGATTCTCCTTGAGGGGAAGCCGCTGATCGAGCCCAGCGTGCCCGCGGCCGCCTCCCGCGCAGCACCGCCGCTGGGGCCTGGGGATGACACACTGCGAAATCGGATCGACGCCCATGGAGGAGGAGGGCGCAGTCGGCGAATTGGAGGAGGAGGAGGAGGGCGCAGTCGACGAATGGGAGGAGGAGGGCGCAGTCGACATTGGCGTGTCTGACTCAGAGGAGGAGTTGGCGGTGCTCCGGCAACCTCGCCTGATTCAGAAGCTCGCCGACGTTGTTACTCAACGTGCGTCATGCGTGATCGAGCTTGAGGGAGGAGCTCCGCTAACGATTCGGCCGGCCACCTCGACCGGCAACGACCGGCCTCGACCGGCCACCCAGCGCCGCCGCCCACCGCCACCCACAAAGCGCCTGCTCTACTATCCCGTACCTGGCTGGCTGACGCTCGCCCCCCCCGCTCCACTTTCCACGGACCATGCCCGTGACAGCACCATCACTGTCGCCGTCCTGGTTTTGAACGTGGCAGCTAGACTCTAGGAACTCGGTAGTTGTGACCCCCCTGAGTGAGGAGCAGGAGAGAGAGCTTTTGTGGTGTTGGTGTACGCAATAAATAACGAACGGGACGGGGTGGTCGTTCTCTCTATCTCCCCTTCTAGTACCATGAGCTGGGCGCTGTGTCCGACCCCTTTTGCGCAGCAACACCTTAAACTTTTAGGCCCTCCAAATTCGGGTCGGAGCGTAGGCCGTAGCGGAGTGGGCCCCGAGTTTGAACAGGGCGACGGACGCTTGCGTCCTAGCCTCCAACAACGCCTCCCCGGCGCAGAGGGGCCCCCGGAGGGATGCACAACCGCTCCGGGCCATGCCGCTTGCGGCGGTCCTCTTTCCCAGCTCCGCTGAGGGCCCGTGTGTTATTTTTCTGAGGGCGTAACGGGACGAGTAATAGTAAATCGCCTCCAGGACGACGGGTCCTCCGACTCTCCTCCTTCTGACACGACACGCGGTCTCGTGCTCGGACGCTCCATGGCGTTCGCCAAGTTGGTCGTACTCGCTGCGGCCCTCGCTGCCACCAGCTTCGCCGCTCCAACCACACAGCGTGCGTCCCGATCTAGTCCCTCCCGTAGTCTCCTCCCGTGCCGGGCTCCTGGTATTCCGTGGCGTCGCCTCAGCTCCCATTGACTCCCGTTCGCACACACCCTCAGGCGTTGATATCGACATTCGCGACACTGCGACGACCGACAACTCCCCTCCGCCGCCGCCGCCGCTCAACCCTGACGCCCAATCCGAAAACAACGCGCTGATTTCATCCATTCTTGCCAGCGTGCCCTTTTACGAGACGTCAGAGATCGTTTGGCCAAAAACGAAGGGCAAGGATCCAGACATGTGCACGGCAATCAGCTTTCCCGATGGCGCGGAAAAGATTCCGGCCTTCAACACCTTGAGATGCGAGCAGAACTTAAAAGAACCCGAAACAAATGCCGTGTCAACGCGCTACACGCAGCATGTCATCACGGAATCGGAGGGATACACACAATCGGTCAAAGCAGATGCAGACCTTCAAGCCTCTGGGTGGGGCGCAAAGATGAAGGCCTCGTTTTCTACTAGCTCCACTCAGAGCGGCTCATCGTCGTCCGTGCTGCTCAAGACCAACGCGTGGGTGGAATATGACCGGGCGACCAAGGTGCAAGGAGATTCTGGCAAATGCCAGCCGTTCTTGGAATCGGTGGAACGAGAGCTGAAAGATAAAGCGAAGATCCCGGGAGGGCTCCAGGAGTGGCACGACAAACATGGCACCCATTTCATCTCCGGATATTACGCTTTTGCTTCAGCCACTGCGACAGTTCAAATCACCGAATACGACAGCAAGAAACGGGAAGAGATTCACGCCGCTCTATCCGCCGCATACACCGGGTACGGTACGACCGTTGGGGGCTCAGCTAGCTTTAGCGCATTGGTAGGCACGGAAGCGGCGGGAAGGCATGTCACGAAGTATATTGCAACAAATGGAGTCACATCGGGTCCGCCGAATGACTCCATTGAGGCACTTGGCGACTACATCTTCCACCTTTCAAATTTCACGGACCCGACGGCAAATCGACACAAGGTGATTCTATCGCCTTACAGCGATTGTAAATCATATCAGGAAGCGCTCATGCTTGTTCCAGATGGTGGAGATTTTCCTCAAGTACCAACAGTTACTGATGACATCTTCACGCTATGGGTTGAGGTCCACTTCCTGCAGGATGGACTGACTAAGTTGCAAGAGTACTGTTCCGGACTCCGAGCGACGTCCGTGCCACTGAATTCCTTCGACTGCAACGCAAAAATTGCGAGACCGGATGGTTGGATCGACTCGCTCTCTCCCGCCCAGCAAGACGAGATTACGGCCGTTGCTGTGACGGCGCCATTTTACCTGACCGGTGAGAATATTGAGCACGACATACTGAACGATCTGTACGACCCGGTTCTTGAGATCTACGATGCCCTGCCTGATCTACCCGAGAACGCGCGGACCGTCTTCATCGATCTGGGAAAGAAGGTACGGATCGCCAATCAGAAGGTGAGGGCGTTCCAAGACTCCTTCGGAATCCAACCGCCCCCGCCTCCCCCCCCTCCCGCGTGCACTCCTGCGGGCTTTGACCCGTACCTTACCGACACCCACGTCGACTGCTGCCCCGGCACAACGGAAACTTTGGGACCGCGCGATTGGGACCAGACCGGCGTCTGGCATTACAAGTGCGTCTAATCGCCAATTCGGGAGGAGTGATCTGGGGCCATCTGGCAACTCCGAGTCCGACGAGGCTTGCAAGGCAGTGTAGTGATTGCCTTGGGGGCCCCCCAAACCCCGGGGTTTGGACTTTCCCCCCTCAGGGGCAAAGGGGGTAGGGGGCCCCCCCCCCCCCCCCCCTTCCTCCCCTCGCGGCTGAGACCCTGTGTTTAGTAGAGCAGTGCCAAGTCTAGGATCCCGGACCATCGACCTCGGGAGCTCTCCCGCACCGTTTAAGCGTTTAAGACCGTTTAAGGAATCGGCGGCCCAGGCAGCTTAATGGGCCCGGGCCCATTTTAAGCCGCCGTTTAAGCCGCAGGCGCCCCAGGGCCCACCCTTTTAAGCCTAGGGGTAGTACTCGACCTGGTGCACGATCCGTCCGTCCCCGCGTCCCACTCCCGCGCCATGACGGTCGCGGGGTACCACCGCTTGGTGTGTCACAGAAGATCTCGAGGCGCGATCCGGTGGGCAGGACAGTGTGGCCGTCGAGCGCCGCCCTGGCATCCTCGCGCTTTCGCTTCCGCCGGCTTCGCCTTCGTCTGCGCAACAGGGTGTAATTCGGGCCCACCTCCGCCACGCTGTCCAGCACGTGGGCGGCGCTTGCCATCTCGACCGCGTTGTCCTCCGGCGGAAGCTCCGCGTCGCCCGCGGCCGCCTCCCGAGCGCACTCGTCACGCATCCGCTCGTGGTTGCGCCTGCCGACGCGCCACGCCGGCGGCCGTGTGTCTCGCCGCCGCGTCCGGCGACGGCATCGATGCTGTCCGCCCGAGCGTGACTCGCAACTCCACGATTTGCGGTCCACGGACAAAGCGGCTCCCCAGGAGCCTTCGCCAGGTCTTGGACACAGCAGCGATGACGACTTAGTGTGGGGAGGGTCGGCGAGCACTCACTCACTAGGGCGGCGCCGCAGGGCCGGGGCACTGGCCACGGCCTCGCCGACCACTAGAAGGCGGCCCACCCACTACGCGCACTAAGTTAGTGGGCGGGATGGCGGGAAGCACTCACCCACTAGCCCGTTCGCCGGCGGCCCACTCACTACGCGCACTACCCGTCCTCCGACCACGACTCCCGGGAGCACTTCACCACTTGACCCGCCTCGGCGCACCACTAGCCCTCGTCCAGCTCACAGACTAACTTGCGCCAACTTACTTAGTTTCCCCCAGGGCCCGGGACCACTCACTCACTACATCATCGCTGCTCTTCACACGACCTGGCGAAGGCTCCTGGGCTCCCCCCACCAAAGTTGAATGAATCCTCTCCTTAGACACACACATACCTGCCTGTCTCGGGTCATGATTCTCTTCTATTGTATCCGCTTCTCTCTCTCTCTCTCTCTCTCTCTCTCTCTCTCTCTCTCTCTCTCTCTCTCTCTCCGACTCTCTCTCTCTCTTGCCTCCGGCTCTTCTCTTTTCGCGGCAGATGGTCGGTTCGTAGACATCGCTTGGTGTGTCACCGAAGATCTCGAGGCGCGATCCGGTGGGCAGGACAGTGTGGCCGTCGAGCGCCGCCCTGGCATCCTCGCGGCGGAGCTCCGGCTGCTCGCCAACTGCGGCATGACGGGCGGCCTGTCGCCGGAGCAGTTTTACGCCATGGCCGCCGCCTCCGAGCAGGCGGGCCGGGTGTGCGCCGCTCGCGGCCACTACAACTCGGTCGGCGTGACGCCGCGCTCCATCTTCGAGAGCCACAAAGTCCCGCGCGCGCATGTGTGCGAGGCGCTGCGCGTCGTCAAGGCAAACCCGCCTGCCTGCGCCGACGCGTTGAGTCGGGCGTGGACGGAGTACCTCTTCTACTCGCTCCACGACCGCTACTCGCCGCACGAGCTCTACTCGACCGACGGCACGGAGGCGGGCTTCAAGGCGGGCGACTCGGGCAACGAGAACGTACGGCGGGACGGCCAGTTCGACCCAGCGACGCGGCGGCGCTATGGTGGGCGCTTCCACGACCTCATCGTGCGCCATGGAGGGGAGGCGTACTTCGAGGGTAAAGGGCCGCGCATGTGGCGCGTCCTCGCCGAGTTCATCGTCGACTGGCTGGCGTCCGAGGTGCTGAGCGCGAGATCGCTCAAGTTCGAGCCGAACAAGGCGACGGGCGAGGAGGGCTTCCTCGGGCTGGCAGCCAACGCGGAGAGGGCGCTGCAGACGGTGAAGGACAAGGTGCTGGCGGAGAAGGTCGCAGGCGAGACGCTCTTCAAGGGCGTTTTCGGCGCGTGGGGCCTGCGGCTGCGCCCCAACGAGCCGTGGGAGCACGCGTCGCTATAGGCTCGAGCGTGCGCTTGTGTGTCTTTTTGTGTCTGAAAATCGTTATGCGCAGCCAAACCGCCCGCGGGGACCGAAGACGTACCGCCGACACACACAGACACACACACCGCCGATCGAAGGCTAGCTCAAAAGAATTCGAGACGCAGTGCAGTGCACGGCACAACCCATGTCCTCGGCACAACCCTGGTCCACCGCACAAGCTCCAGGTCCACATGCATAGGATGCGGCTCCACCTGCTTCTGGTTCTCGCCACGCAGCGCAGCGACTGCCTCCGACCTCGACTCCCGCCGAGGCCGAGCCCGCCACGCCGAGACCGATTGCCGGTGCCTCGCCTAACCTCGGTGCCCAAGCCGGGCGCGAAGCCCTGTGGCGACGACCTCGACCGCAGAATCGCGTCGCTGGCGGGACCGGCGGTGCTCTCCTTCCTCATCCTTCCGATTGCGCAGGCCACCGATCTCTTCTGGGTCGGAAGAATGGGAGAGGCTCTCGCGCTCGCAGGCCAGGCGGCGGCAAGCCAGCTGTACTCGACGCTCAGCTTTTTAACATCGACGCTGCCGACGATCACCGTCCCTCGCATCGCCGCCGCGCGCGCCGCCGGCGACGACGCGGCCGTGCAAGAGGCGATTGGCGAGGCGCTGGCGCTCTCTTGCGCGCTCGCGCTGGTGCTCGGCGCTGTGCTGTGGCGCTTTCAGCGGCCCGCGCTGCTCTACCTCGGCAACCCGAACGCGCTGCCGTGGGCGCTCGGCTACTCGGCAGGCGAGAGCATCCGTGAGCTCAACTGATCCGAGACGAGCCGAGATCACCCGAGATCACCCGAGATGAACCGCGCTGGAGACGAGCCGAGATGTCTCGGAGGTTTAGATCTCGGAGGTTGACTCGAGAAAAACCTTGAGACCGCCCGAGATCACCCTCCGCCACCGTCCGGAGCCGCAGGCCGACTGCCGGGCGTGCTTGCCGAGGCGGTCGGGCTGATCGGGTACGCGGCCTTTCGCGGGGCGATGGACACGGTCACACCGCTCAAGATCACCGCGGCCTCCAGCGCGGTGAGCCCGCCCGACCCGCAGCCCGACCCGCAGGTCTCACCTTCAGCGCAGTGGAGTGAGGAGTCGTGCAGTCACTCAGGCGAACGTCCTGCTCGACCCGCTACTCATCTTCAGCGCACGCCTCGGCGTCGCCGGCGCCGGCCTCGCCACCAGCGCCTCGCAGTGGCTCGCTGCCGCCGCCTACCTCTCCCTGCTGCTGAGGCACGCTCCCCGCCTCCCACCCCTCGCCCTCTCCCCACACACCCTCTCCACGTCCAACCTCGGGCCACCTCGGGCCACCTCGGGCCATCTCGGGCCATCTCGGGCCATCTCGGGCCACCTCGGGCCATCTCGGGCCATCTCGGGCCACCTCGGGCCATCTCGGGCCACCTCGGGCCACCTCGGGCCATCTCGGGCCATCTCGGGCCATCTCGGGCCACCTCGGGCCATCTCGGGCCACCTCGGGCCACCTCGGGCCATCTCGGGCCATCTCGGGCCACCTCGGGCCATCTCGGGCCATCTCGGGCCACCTCGGGCCATCTCGGGCCATCTCGGGCCACCTCGGGCCATCTCGGGCCACCTCGGGCCATCTCGGGGGCAGGCGCAAGCTCGTCCGCTGGGCAACCATCCTCCGGCTGCCGAGCCGCGCTGCCCTCGCGCGCATCGCCGCCGCGGGCGGGGCGGTGCAGGTCCGGTCGCTCGCGCTCAATCTCGCCTTCCTCTCCATCACGAGGCGAGAAGGCTGCGAGATCTCGCTGAGACCTCGCCGAGAGACGGAGTAGTGGCGATGTGCGATGCGGTAGGCGCGTGCAGAGCCTCGACTCTTCGGGGGTCGCGGCTGCGGCGCACGCCGTCACTCTCCAGCTCTGGCAGATCGGAGGCGAGATCTAGCCGAGATCTGAGATCTGGCCGAGATCTGGCCGTCACTCTCCAACTCTGGCAGATCGGAGGCGCCTCCCGCCTCCCGCCACTCCTTGGATACGAGATCCGCCGATCCGCCGGGATCGCTCAGCCCTCTCCGACTCGCTCTCTCAGCAGCTTCCACCCCCCCCCCCCCCCCCCCTCCCTTCCCGATCAAGGCGTCGTCCTCTTCGCCCTGTCGACGGTCGCCGCTTGCACCTCCCTGCCGAGCGACACACACCCCACCCTGCTCAACAGCCACCACGCCACCGTGTCCCCCCCCCTCCTCCCCCGCGCCGTCTCCTTCCACTCAGCTCTCCTCTGCGCCGCTGCCCCACAGGTCGCCTCCATCATCGTCCCCGCCGAGCTGAGCTCCTCCAAAGGCGCCGAGGCGACCGCCGCCGCACGCGCTGCCGCGTCGCGCCTCCTCTGCTGGGGCGTCGTCCTCGGCGCTCTGCTCGGCGCCGTGCAGCTCGCCGCCCTCCCTCTCCTCGGCCTCTTCTCCACGCTGCCAGAGGCGCGGCGGCCACACGCAGCCACCTCGGCCGCATCCCGGCCGCATCCCGGCCGTGTCTCCGTCGCAGGTGCGGCGGGCGGCCGTCGCGCCGTCGGTGCTCGGCGCGGTACTGCAGCTCTTCAACGGCGTCACTTTCATCGGCGAGGGTGCGGCTCCTTCAGACGAGCCGAGATATGGGGAGGTATGGGGAGATATGGGGAGGGTGCGGCTCCTTCAGACGAGCCGAGATGGCCCGAGATGAGCCGAGATCGGCTCCATCGAGGCGCGGCTCAGCCGCGGCCCACACACACCTCCACACCGGGACTCCGCCGTCTTCCGCCGCCTGGAGCCTGCGCTTGGCTCCGTCACTCGAGCCCTACTGTTCGGACCCGCTGTAGGCGTGATGGTTGGGACGCAGTCCTTCTCCGCTCTCGCCGCCGGGCAGGTGGTCGCCACGGCCGCCCTCCTCGCCGGCTTGCGCCGCGCCCACTCCCTCACCGCGGTTTGGTGGTGCTTCTGGCTTTTCAACGGCGTGCCGCTCCCAAACGTGCTCTGCCTGGACACTTCCCGGACCGTCCCTGGAATCGTCCTGTAGGTGTGCGGCTTGCCAACGTGCTCTGCCACCACTTCGTGCGAGGCCCGCTCGCGGGCGAGCCGCCCCACGGGCTGAGGTGGGCGGCGCGGCGGCGGGGAAGAAGGGCCGGGACCAGCTGAGTTGCAGCCTCCTCCACACACAGATTTGGTCCACCTGTGTTAGTGCGCGCAGTCCCGTGCCCAGTGTCGCGACTGCAAAATTCGTTATTTGCACACTTGCTGTGCTCACATGCGCGCTCGATCGCCTCTTCGCCTCCCTCCGCGGCCGAGCACGGCACGCTCTCGATCCACGCTCAACCGCTCAAGGTGCTCGTACGAGTTCGACGCGCCTGGTGCAGCTCCCCTGCGCCCCCTGGGCCGCTCGCGGCACGCGGGTTCGCCCGAGGAGAATTTGCGCGAGTGCGCCAATGGGCCCCTATGATGGCTCTGAAGGCTGGTTGGCCTTTTTCTTTTTTCTATACCCTGGGGGACCCCAAGTTGGCGTCCGACCGAAATGAATCTTGCATTGCGTTTCGAAGCTGCACGCCCGCACTGTGAGGCACATTATGGGGGCGGGGCCATGCTGGTCTGACTCTGTGAGTACTGATGAGAGGACTCTCTCTCAGCACGCATCGGTGTTGAGGCTCCCACAAGAGTCGGCGGTCCCATGGCTGACGCTCGAGTATCACGAGCAGCTGCTCTCAAGTGCCAGTTCGCCACCGCGGCCCTCTGCCCACTGACGACTGAGTGGGTGCTGTGTGTTCGTTCGGCGTCCCGACGAGCTCTATACACATATGCTTGTACAGTACACTACCCGCGTACGGGCCATGCGCAGAGAGGCAAAGGCAGCCGTGAGACGGGGGCACCGCCGTGGCCGACGTTCTTGCGTGCACAGCTTGCGGTACTGGGGTGCTACGCGGCATAGTAGCTCGACGGGTAGACAAACTCGGTCGCCGCCTCGGCACGCTCGCACATTGGGTGGTAGCATGCCGCCGGGTTGATGGAGAGGCCCGTCTTGGCGCCGCAGCTGCTGTACTTGTCCAGGGCCGATCGCAGAAGCCTCGACCCCGCCGGGAGTCTCTTGCCAAAGTGGAGGCCGACCGAGCCGATGGCGGCCAGGCGGGGCCAGACCACTGCGTCTGTGTACTCGTCTAAGTTCGGCCCTTCGCCCACGGGTGCTTGGATGTCGATTGCGGCGGTGGGCACGCTCCAGCAGCCCGTGGCGTTGGCGGCTGGTACGATCTTCTTCACAACCACCCCAAACGAGAGCGGCAGGGCGGCGGCGTCGCGGAAGAGCCCGCCCTGCACGGCTGCAACGAAAGTCGACCACTCGGTGTCGATTTGCACATTCTCGATGGCGAGGCCCGGGGCGAGGAGCGGTTGAGGCGCGCTGTCGAGAGAGAAGGTGCCGCCAATCATCGCGAGGCGGAGCAGCCCAGTCAGGGAGAGGAAGCCGGGGACCGCACTCACGACGAAGGACGGGAGAGGAATGCCGGCTACGGCGTTGAAGAGGCGCATGCCGAGAGACGCACCCCACGATGTGCCGTCGGTTTCGCTTTGCGTGTGGCGCTCCACGACGACCGAGTGAAGCGAGAAGAAGGCGAGGGACGCCCCCGTGAGTGCGTCCTCTGGCAAGGGTGCGGAGGCGGGAAGCCACTGAGATGAGATGCTGTAGAAGGCAGGTCGCGGCATAGCAAAGTCGGGCTTGAGGCAGACCCCGTCAATCTGGCCCGACGATGCGGCGAGGAGCTTGTTGGTCAGGTCAGGGCCGGCGTCGTATTTGATGCCATCAACGCGAAAATTCTTGACAAAGTCGTAGAGGAATGCCGCCTCAGCACCAAAGACAAAATTTGCTGAGCCGCCCGTGAGGTGCCCATTAATGGAGATGCTGGATGCCGCCGGCGCAAACGTCGGCCGCCCAAGTGCCTCCGCGATTTGGGCGTAGGTGAGCCGCCCGTCGATGCAGATGGTTCCATCGTTTTGCTCTACAACGCTGCCTTCGCAGAGGGCTGCCGGCGTCGTCGCTGAGGGGAAGCCGTCGTGCCACAGCGAAGCTTGGTGCGGTGGCAAGGAGCCGCCGCGGCAGTAGGAGAGCTCGTCGTCAAAGGGCCACAGGCCGACTGCGCCAGCGACGAGCAGAAGAGTCATAGAGCGCGAGCGAAGGTTGTAGGTGAGCCAAGCAAGCAAGGTGTCGCGGGCGGCAGCGGCAGCGTGTCATGATTTTCCGCGAATTTTCCTTCCTTGCAAAATGTAAAAAGTAGGAGGAGGAGTTCTCCCAGGAATTGCGACTCGCCGCTTTCCCCCACTGTGATTCTGTGTGAGCTCTGTGTCTTGATTTGCCAACAACAAAGGTAAAAGGTCTTCTGGGTGAAACTTCTGAGGTTGACACACGGTGCAGCAAGCAATAATGCGACACCCCGGTGCACGGCCCAAATTTCCGTCACCTCCGGAGGCGGCTCGAGGAGACGTATCGGTTGTCGGTGGGCGCCCCGCCCACAACGGTGGTGGTCTTTGGACAAAGCTGCCGAAGCCGGTAGTCAACCTCCCCTTCCGCCAAGACGGCCAGGCTGGCGGCTGCGCGCCTTCAGCCGAGCCGCGCCTGAGGCCAACGTTCTGGCTTGCGCCCAGCCTGCACACATTGGCCCTGGCGCACCGGCCGGTGGATTGGGGCAGGCAGTTCACATTGCCGGAGAGCAGCACCTCGGCGCCGCCTGTCTCGTTGGGAAGACGGCGTCTCGCACCGCAAAGCGCCGCGTTAGACGACAATGTGTCCAATCTCGTATCGCAAAGCGCCGCGTTAGACGACAATGTGTCCAACTGGGAGCACACGCAGTACTATGTGCTCCAGCATGCGCTCATTCACCAGCTCTCGCGTCACCAGGTTTGCACGTCCCTGCCTTCCACATCTCCGCCCACGCTCCTCCCCATCACCCCTCCCCACCGTGGCACAGTCGTGCAGCAACGACTCGGAGTCCGCCTCGGTTTGCTTCATCGCCAGTCCACCCTTTGGGAAGTGCCACGATTGGAGGGCAATTTGCCCGGGGAGGCGGGTGTACGCTGTCGATGTGGCGGACGTGGAGCTGAAGAATGCCAAGGGCTCGTCGGGCGAGCTGTGCGCGACGCTCTGGAGCTGCAACGCGTCGCGCGAGTACCCTGACGTGGTCCGGGTGACTGGTAACCCACCGCTGCTGCGGCGCCATCCCAACCGCCAGGCGTGTGCCTTGAAGACCGAGCACTTGCGGAAGACGCTCTCGTTGCCCTATATGTCGCACTCGCGTGGCGGAAAGTGCCACGGCGGCTCGGCGGAGGAACGGCGACCCTTCCTCGTTGCGCTCGCCGCCTCTCCATTTGGCCATTTTCAAGGCGACTATTATTATCGGGCACGCGAGCTGCGCTCGTCGCTCGCCTTTGGCTGCCTCCAGCGCATGGCGCTCTGCACCATTGTGACCCCGAATCAGATGGGGACCAACATGGAGAGGGTCTACCTCGCCTATCGCAGGTCAGTCTTCTGCTTGCAACCGCCAGGCGACTCGATCGCACGTGCGGCCATCGTCGACGCATTGGCCGCGGGCTGCATACCAGTGCTCTTGCACCCGCGGCAGCCCTCCCTCTGGCCCTGGCACTGGAGTGCCGACGAGGTGAGCGTGCTCTTTGACTGGACCGACCGGCGGGGCGTCCGCCTCTACCCCAGCCCCTCTCGCCGCAGCCGCCTCTCTTTCTCTGGCCCCAACGCGAGCGCGCTCTTCGCACAGCTGGAAGCCATCCCACCGGCGGTGATCCAGGAGAAGCAGCGCGCGATCGCGAGGGTGGTGGATGGCATGACGTACCGCGGCGAGACTGTGGGGCAGAGCGCCTGCCGGCGACCGGAGAGCCGCGACGCATTCGACCTCTTTCTCGGAGGCGCGCTGGAAGGCCGGCCAGTACATCGGTGAGGGGGTGTGCTATGAGGGTATCAAGCGAACCAGTTTGGACCATGTTTAGACCCGGTTCAGGGTTCGTGAGTGAAATTTCACCCTTTCACTTTCACATGTGAATTCATGTGAATACAATTTCACATGAAACGTTTCGGCCGCCCCCGTTTCACTGAAAATTTCACAAGTTTGCATCCAAACGCGGTGAAAGCGACGAAGTATAGAAAGGAGAGAGCCCAACCGAGTAACTAGTGAGAGGAGGTGCGAGAGCAGCTTGGTTCGTGAGGTGTGTCCTGCTCGGGGCTCAGGCGCTCGAGGACGTGTGTGTAGCCTCAATGTTCTTTTAATGCGCGCCCCCGCCGAAATACACCAACACGCGACGCGACCTCTTAAGGAGCACCGTGTCGTTAGGGTTAGGGTTAGGGTTAGGGTTAGGGTTAGGGTTAGGGTTAGGGTCAGAGAGTCCAAGCCGTTGTGTGCAGCTTTTAACAGCAAATGGTCCGGTTTGGGCCGAAACCAAATGGAGAAATCAGCGGTCCGTCGACCCGAACTCTCGGTGAACGCTTTGGGTTCTTCGGGCTAGGGTTAGGGTTAGGGTTAGGGTTAGGGGTTAGGGTAAGGGTTAGGGTTAGGGTACGTTGGTTGTCGTCGCACGCTCTCGATATCTGGCTAAGACGAGACACAGCATCAGAGGCGACCCAAGCGACACACCAGAGCACGGCCGCGGACGCGAGCCGCCATCTTGGACTGTGAGGCGAGTATTTGCCACCGGGAGCTCGCCGCCGCCCCCTACACCGCCGCCGCCGCCCTCCCGCAGGCCAGATAATAGCCCAAGTCGAAGAGTGCGCGCCGCCCTCGGTATCTGGGTGGCAGGCGGGACTAGAGAGGCACGCCAGAGCACGGCCGGGGACGCGAGCCGCCATCTTGGACTGTGAGGCGAGTATTTGCCACCGGGAGCTCGCCGCCGCCCCTACACCGCCGCCGCCGCGCTCCCGGTGGCAAATAATAGCTCAAGTCGAAGAGTGCGCCCCGCCCTCGGTATCTGGGTGGCAGGCGGGACTAGAGAGGCACGCCAGAGCACGGCCGCGGACGCGAGCCGCCATCTTGGACTGTGAGGCGAGTATTTGCCACCGGGAGCTCGCCGCCGCCCCTACACCGCCGCCGCCGCCCTCCCGAGGCCAGATAATAGCCCAAGTCGAAGAGTGCGCCCCGCCCTCGGTATCTGGGTGGCAGGCGGGACTAGAGAGGCACGCCAGAGCACGGCCGGGGGCGCGAGCCGCCATCTTGGACTGTGAGGCGAGTATTTGCCACCGGGAGCTCGCCGCCGCCCCTACACCGCCGCCGCCGCCCTCCCGAGGCCAGATAATAGCCCAAGTCGAAGAGTGCGCCGCTCGGAAAAGTGAAATTTCGTTTCACATGAAATGTGAAGTGAAAGTGAAAGTGAAATCGATTCGCTGTTTCCATGTGAAATCACGAACCCTGACCCGGTTTAGACCACACTGCTGAACACCAACCGGTCCTGACTCTCCTGTTCCGAGTTTACGATACATGTAAACAGGACCGACACGAAAGGTCTCGGAAGGTTCACCTCTGAAATCTTCGTCATCATTTCAGGAGACGCGAGATTTGGGCTCCTCGGTGTTTGTGGCTCCTTCACCCCGCGGCCCCAGTCCCCACAGCAACGCCGATGCCCAGGGAGAGCCCGCGGCGACGAAGCCCGCCGGCAACCAGCACAGGCCAGAATAAACGCAAGCGCGATGAGCCGACGGACGCCAGCGTTGACCTCATGATCCGTTTCCCGCCACCTGCGCCGGCAGACGCCACCCCACCACCAACCAAGCAAATGAAGCGACCGGATCCCCGTCCGCCCAGCCAAACGAGCCTCATGGGCGCGCCGAGCGGCCGCTGCAGCCCGGCGCCGTGGCTGCCACTGATGCACGCGAAGCTCCAGTCCTCGCTGCTGATGCGCAGCTACTCCGCGCTCAGCCTCGACAGCCTGGGCTCGGCGAGGCCTGTGTGTGGCAGCACCCGCTCCACATCGGCGCTCTCTAGTGCGAGCCGCGAGCCGACCCAGACGCCGCCCAGTTGCCCGGGCGCCTTTGAGCAGAGCCGCGAGCTCGGCCTCTGCCGCGCGCCCCCCCGCCCCCCAAGGCTTGTCTCCCGTTTGAGCCGGCAGCAATCTACCTAGTTTGTGTGCCGCATGTCCTCCGCACGTCCAACCCGCCGCCGCCCTTGTGGCAGCGCCCTCGGGTGGAACCGCTCTTAGCGCTGTCTAGAATATTGCTGACCACTACGTCTGCGCGAACTATCTACATACAGTGCGTGCTCTTGCCTTAGAAATCGGTGTTTAGAAATTGGCTGCTGGAAATTTGGCTGATTTCCCTGGCCGAAATAGAAATCGGCTGCTGGCACGAGGCCGGCCCGATTTCTCTGATCTGCCGCGCCGCAGGCGCGAAGAAAATTTTAGAAATCATACGACTTTTTAGAGAGAGGTCGTTCTTTCACTTTCTTCTCAGTCTACAGTCATGGTGAAACGCAATTTTCACCCTCTCTATAGTGTGAACAGTGTGAGTCTTGGGCCCGGGGTTGTGTCTTTGCGTGAACAGTGACGCAACACGTCAAGTCCCTCATGCTCAGCTCTCTGGCGCCGGCTCCAGCAGGAGCCACCACTCGCTCGCGCCATAGTTGTCGGCGGCTAGCTTGCACGCGACACGGCCCGCGAGGTGCTTGGTGCCCGTCTCTTTCTGGGAGTACATGACGATGTGCGTCGCGTCAGGCTGACGCCACGAGGAGCCCACGCCGAAGTGCTGCACGGTGCCAACGTACCAGCCGGTGGCGCCGTCGAGGAGGTGCGCGGCGAGGATCTTGCGCCGGCACAGCGCGCGCTGCTCGTCGTCGTTCGCCAGCGGCGGGCACGTCGCCGCATAGACGTAGCCCTTCGGGGGCATTGCCGGAGCCTCGCCGCATGCCTGCATGCGCACGGCGGTGTCGTCCTCGTCCTCGTCCTCTGAGTCCTCCATGCCGTCCTCCGCCTCCTCCTCGCCCTCCTCCTCGCCCTCCTCCTCGCCCGCCGCCTCGTCGACATCGGCGAGCTCCGCCTCGTCCTCGTCCGCCTCGCTCTCCCCGCCGTCCGATCCGC